TTAGTTGATGTTTTTCTTTCCAAGTTTATCTCACGCCTCGTATTTATTCAAAGAGACGATGAAGGAAATCACCAAAACAAAGGATGTTTCTTTTATCAGGTTTATCTTAGTGTCTCATGCAGTAGTAATATTTTGAAGAAAAAAAACCTCGAACATTCTTCGTAAAATAAAGACAATCTCTTTTGCACTTCTGAAACCTTCTGAAAAACTTACGTTATTTAAAACCTCACTTATGATTGGGAATTATAACTAAACATAACTATTTTTAATTTTTAACTGCAATTTAAAAATATAACAGTTCGAATTAATTTAAGGTAGTCTTATAAAACTGAAAAGTGGCGGCGCAACAGAATTCATCACCCAATTTTATCACGTGCCTATCGTAAGAGACAAGGATGACAAATTCCAGGCAGATATCTTAGCAACAATAGACGTTGATATAACCTTCTCGTTAATACCAGACATAAAATATCAATACCGGTGACGAGAAGCAGCACCTACGATGCAAGACGTCTGGTGCTGCGATCGCCAATCAGACTCCCAATCGAGCAAACATGGTGATTAAAGCAAATACTCCTTACAGCAGGAGAGGCCCATGTCCAGCACTTAACTTTTACAGACCGGTACAGAGAAGAAAATTGCCAGTAAATAATTAATCATACTATATTATATTAATAATAATAAATACAAATTCAGTTCTAATTCATCAAAATATTTGTTTGCAGCACACATTATCATTATCGCATAATCTGCTGAAATATCAATGTCCAATGAACGACTCTTATCAGTAATAATTACAGAATAAGAAATAAGCTATTCGTTCAGTCATCGGTGAGTGTCAAACAAGTACAGATTAGTGATTCTGATTTGTGCTACTTAAAGGTTAAAACTTTAAATAGTTTGACAGTTTAGCCTCAAGTTACCTGACAGACATGGTAAGTTCATGAAGTTAAAGAACAGAAGATTAAGTAATAATCACAACGACCTAAATAATATTCTTATTTAATATAAGTATGGATCTTTTTCCGAAATTCAAAAATTCATTTCTAAATTTACTTATTAATTAAATATAAAAAAAAATTGTGGTTGTCACAATTGCTTTATTCTAAATAAGGACAACTTACATCTAGTTAATAGTTATACCATTTTGTTAGTTGTTTGGAAATGTTTATTTGTCTACCATTGCTTAAAACTTATAATATGGCCTTAAATTTAAATGAATAAGTATACTATTTTCAGGTAAGTAATAACTGTGAGTTTTCCGAATAAAATCAAATAAAATAAATACGTATTTCGAATTTTACCTAAGTATGCAGAAATATTATATATTTTTTATTAAAAAAAATTTTTTTGTCACACTAATCTAAGCACCTACACTTTTTAAAAATGTACAGTTATAGTTTTATTTGATTATGTTATCATTACACTAAAATAATTTTAAAATAAACATTTATAACAGTTAAACACAGACGCAAAAAATACGAACGTAACATTACACTAAAAATGTATGAAGACTACCCTAGGTCCTACATTTTTACTTACGTGGGATAGTACACGCACAAGAATGCATGTACATAGGTCCGACATGCGGCGCCAGTACGCAGCACGTGTCAGCTCTAATGACCACAAAGTCTTTGATAAATAAAGTACCTAGTTTAATACGTACCAATAAGGTACTCTGTAGACATTAGAGCTGGCTCGTGCTGAATACTAGCGCCTATTGTCGGACCTTGATGTAAATGTGGACGTTTGTAGGGCCTAGGATTTTTCACACATTTTCAGTTTAACATTACGTTCATATGTTTACGTCTAAAATAAGTTTTGCTACAGTTCATGTGTTACTTTTTAATTCATATAACAAAAAAAAGTTTTAAACCTTCTCCTGTACTAAAACCATCAGCATTTTTATTAATCTTTAAATCATAAACAAACAACGAGCATTTGTTATCATATCTCTTTTGACTACCGGAACACCTACCTTACTATTTCCATGAAATTAAAGATAATGTGACAAGCCGAAATGTGTAATTTAATTTTAAAATAAAATTAAAATATTACGTATTGAAAATATATTTTCATCTTTATTGAACGTGAAAGAAAAATTATGTTATAAAATGTTCTTAACCTAGATGTCTTCATTATATTTTGTTTGAGGATTTGGAATTATTCCAAAGTAATCAAAGTACCAAAATACTCAGTATCTGATTAGCGAGTCGCGAGACCACATGGATGGTATAGTTGATATTTTTTTTCGTGTTTGACACTGGCGATCCGAGTTTGTCTCCGATCTTATCGCTTGAGGGTATGGTATGATATTGGACATAATACAATAGGTGCCTGAGCTCCTTTTTCCCGAGAGCCCGCATGTACTGAGTAACCTCTTGCCTATCTCTACGGCTATGTAGTACGTTGAGTTTCAATTTGAAGGGTAAGACAGCTAGTATTTTAATTTAGTATTTAGATTGCAGACTGGTAGGAATTTCATCTAAGTTCTCTGTTGCTAGTTGCTGCAACCCATCCGTGCTACCCACCTTCTTCATTTGATGTTAGTCTCAAGTAACAATAGACCGCAGGATCTACTTACCATCAGATGAACTGTTAGATCATCCGTCACCCTCAAATTATTTAAAATATTATAAGCGATAAATCTAGAGTTCGTTCATTTCAGTACGTTACGATTTCACTATGAGAGCTAAAGCTCCCATAAAATCTAATTATACGGATACACTGATTTCCTGTGATATAAGAATCCTATTTTATAGTACGTGAGGGTAATATGGTCATCCGGTTAATACAGCCTTGTTTGCATAGATGACACTGATACGATAGCTCTTCATCATAAGGGCGCCGCTTTATCGATGCAATTTTGATTGTTAAATATATAGTAAAAATTTTAGTCGATTTTAGTATTGTGTATTGTAGTTAGTTTTTTTTTAAATTGATTTTTCGAAGTGTTCCTAATTATTGCCAAACCTTATTTATTATTATTTTTTTGTGTTTTTGTCTCTGTCCTCCTCCAAGTTTTGGTTTTATAGGACAGCAAAGCTTAAGGTGGCTATATTACCCTCTGGTAACTTTCTACGTAAATAAAGCATATTAGACGCAAATACTTGGCACATACAGTGATAGCCAGGATGAAAAATATAGTATTATAGCGAATCTATAAGTTAAGAATGTCAACTGCCCCATATATTCCCGTAGGTGTCGTAAAAGGCGACAAAGGGAAACAGGCAGAAGATGGGCAGCAGCATCTTCCTCATCATCAAAAACTGCGGTTGCCAACCTGCTCAACAGTGCTGAAGTGTTTGTACAGTAGAGCTACGATGGCTATCCGAGTACAGAATCAGAGTACGAAACCTATCCAACTATAGAGAAGTGTAAGACAGGGTGACGTTATATCCCTGAAACTCTTCACCGCTGCATTGCAAGACGTTTTCAAGCTACTGGACTGGAAAGGATGCGGTATTAACATCAATGGCGAGTACATCACTCACCTTCGATTTGCCGACGATATAGTCCATATGGCAAAATTGCTGGAGCAGCTAAGCACTATGCTCAATGATCTCAATAGTGTCTGCCAACGGATAGGTCTTAAGATGAACATGGACAAAATAAAAATCATGTTTAACGTCCATGTCACACCTATGCCGCTAGTTGTTGGGAGCACTAAGCTAGAAGTTGTTGACGAGTATGTTTACCTGGGACAAATAGTCCGACTAGGTAAGTCCAACTTCGACCGAGAGGTCAATCGACGGATTCAACTCGGCTGGGCAGCGTTCGGGAAACTACGTCACATCTTCTCGTTAGACATACCTCAAAACCTGAAAACGAAATTGTACAACCAGTGCGTGTTGCCAGTGATGACTTACGGATTTGAGACGTGGTCCTTCACTGCTGGCAGTATGAGGAAGCTCAAGGTCGCTCAGCGAGCTGTGGCGAGGGCTATGCTCGGGGTGTCTCTGCGTGATAAACTTAGAAATAAGGATATCCACAATAGAACCAGAGTAACCGATATAGCCCAACAGATTAGTAAGCTGAAGTCGCAGTGGGCTGGCCATATAGCTCGAAGAACCGACAACCGATGGGGAAGAAAGGTTCTCGAGTGGCAGCCTCGTACCGGTAGGCGAAGTGTAGGGCGACCTCCCCACTAGATGGAGTAGGGCGACCTGGTGAGACATGCAGGAAGTCGATGGATGCAGGTGGCTCAGGACCTTGCTTTGTGGTATTCCTTGGGGGAGGCCTATGTTCAGTAGTGGACTTGTGAACGGCTGTAATGATGATGATAATGATAGCGAAAAAATTTTAACTTTTCTACGATTTGCTGCCAGTGTTTTTATTAAACAATACTTAATCAAAGGAACAAACTTACAAACCTATGCTAGATCCCAAGCGAGGTAGATTGCAAGCGCTCTGTATTCTCATTACATAGTCCAAATAAAATAATGAATTTAATATTTAATAAAACATATGGAATAACTGACTTTTATGAACCAAAATGCAGCTACTGTTAATAGAACGGAAATGTTCGAATACAAAACGAATACCGTTCCTGAAGGCTTGTATTCAACTTCAAAACCGGGCATGCCGTGGTTTCAAAACTATGCGATTGTAAAGCCAACGATCACATTGCTCGTTTACAGAATAATTCTGCTTACATAATTCTGAAAATTCAACTAGAAAGTACATGCAATAAAAATAGGTAATACAATTTACAATACTGACTTTTAGTTGATATTTTTAATTAGCAATAGCCTAATGGCTCCGGATACTGACTGATAGACTAAAATATCATGAATTTGATTCGACTATTATCGTGAACCACTAGCACAATTAGTTTAAACTTCATTGTAGTAGATGGCAGGAATATTAGTATTAATAATAACATTAGAAGTATTGTTTATTAATAAATTGTAAACTAACAGGACGATCGCTCCCTATCGCGGACCACTGGTTCCGTGGTGCTTCAAGTAGGTGCTTTGGAACTATTGGCGAGATATTCCATGAACTCAAACAGGGCCACTAGCATGTTGTCTTCTCTGCATGAATTTAGGACTCAAGAAGCTGAACAATCTGGCGGTAAACAGTGGAACTGGAAATATTTAAGGGTATTATCTCAAGCAATTTTTATTTTGAAATTAATGTTTTTCCAAAAAAAAAAATCAAATTGTGGATTTATTTCATGAGACAGTTTTACATAAAATTTTAAATTTATTTAAATAAAATATTCCCAGGAAACTTGCACGACTTTGAAATATAAAAAAATATTTCGACGACATGTGAAGTCCGCCATCATGCATTAGGCTAGCGAACTCTTTCCTGCTCCAAAAAGCCCTCAAAAATAAGAAAAATCCCATATCCTGGGACAGACGTTGAGTAGGCTAAGACATTAATTTTGTCCCATTAATCCTTAGGCCGACAAAAGAATATTCGGAAATTCATTACTGAACTAAACTACTTTGGTTATTCAATATTTTTATCCCAATAATTCTATTGCATAAAAATAAAGTTGTATAGTATATTAGTCCTAATGCTGGGCACAGGCCGCCACTCGTTTCTGGAGGGTTATGAAGTAATTATTCCACCACTTTGCTCCCGTTTGGCGGACTCACATTTCCTCGAGTTCACATTTCCTCGAAATATTTTATTATGTAGACATTTTTTATAGAATAAGGGTGACAAACGAGCACACAATCCACCTGATGGTACGCGGATTATGTGGCCCATAGACATCTACATTTATCCTCAATTAAGAACCAAAAGTTGACTGAAGATCTTAAAAGATTGATAGGTAGGAAGAATAACGCAAAGTCGAGTTACAGGTCAGATCCAAAGAATGACAGGATTCGGGAGAAGTACAGACTCCTGCGGAATCAATGCAACAAGTTGTGTAGAGATTTACGAAGATCCATGTCGTGTTTGGAACTTTTTAAGGTCTATAGGAATTGGGAAAACACGTTCATGCCCTATACCAAATAACGTCAATTTCATGCTTGGATAATATGGCAAAATCAACAACACTTACTCAACTTTCATCGTTTCCCACTCTTGACGTTTCCCCATTTGTGTTTAGGCAATTTGCAGATTGTGATGTTAGGAAATACATTCTCTCTAACCATTCCGACGTTGTTGGAAGTGATGACGTCAGTCGTAAAATGATCATTCCCTTCAAGTTTTTCTGAATATCGTCCTATTTCGATTCTTCCTTTCCTTTCCAAGGTCTTAGAACGACTTATGCAACAACAAATTGATTCCTTTTGTTTAAGAAATAGCATCCTCAACCCTCTCCAATCTGGCTTTAGATCTGGTCATAGTACGACTACGGCATTATTGAAAATCACGGATGACATTCGCCACGGTATGGAAAATCATCAAGTCACATTTTTGGTGTTGCTGGATTTGCTATGCCTTTAATAGTATTGATCATGACATCCTGTTAGGGATTTTGAGTTCTCTTAACATATCTCCAACTGCAATTTCCTGGTTTCATAGTTATTTGTATGGGCGCTGATAACGTATTCGTGTCCAAGATAGACTTTCTTCGTGGCTTGATACAGTAGCTGGCGTTCCAGAAGGTGGCGTCTTATCTCCTGTTTTATTCGCAATCTTTATTAATACGATTACATCCCAAATATCTTCTCTCAACCACTTGTATGCAGATGATCTCCAAATATACTTACATACAACCATTGAAGATCTTCCCAAAGCAGTGGAATGTATCAATAAGTTTCTGACATGTATTCTCGACTGGAGTCGTTCTTTTGGGTTAACGGTGAACCCTTTAAAATCCCAACCATAATCATTGGGAGTTGAAGAATGATTTGCAAAATAAAAAAATGTCATCTACAACCCGTTGTATATCGTGTCAAAAATTTAGGTACCCTTTTGGATTCTCCAGTCTTTCTTGGTCTCCCCAAATGAATGCAGTGAGCCGTAAAATGTTTGCAGCTTATTCTTCACTCCAGAGGCTTAATTACTTTTTACCCATTGCCACCATAATTACGCTTGCACAATATTTACTACTCCCTATCCTCGAGTATGCTGACATTTGTTACCTTGATATCACCGAGGAGCAACTTAACAAGCTTGAGCGACTTCAAAATCTCTGTATACGGTTCATATTTGGGCTTCGCAAATATGACCATGTCTCAGAATACTTCACTAAGCTCCCGTGGCTCCCAATCCGTCTTCGTCGGAATACTCATATACTTTTTGCTCTCTACTACTCTTATTTAATATAGCTAGTCCTTCCTATCTAAAAGAACGTTTTAAATTTCTCAGCTCCTGTCATAATTTTTCCTTACGACCCAAAGAAAATCTTTCCCTCCAATGACCTGTGCACTCCTCGACTAATTATAATAAATCATTCTCTGTTCTTGGAATAATACTTTGGAACTCCTTACCCCAGTCAATTAGAAGTACTCAATCCTTAAATGTGTTCCAGAAACAGATTAAGGAATACTATTTGTCTCTCTAACGCCTCTCACTTCCTCCGCTTAATTATGGTCATTGATCTACCTGATGAATGTTGTCTTTATAATGCAGTAGTTTGTATCTTTATTTTATTTTTATTTGTTTTAATTTTTTTTTATTTTAGTGCACCCATTGTTCTTTTTCTTATTTTTATTTATTTCTTCTTCTGGGTTGTGTGGAAGAGATTGCTATGTAGCAATAAGACCGCCCTTTGTATTTACCTCCATAGTTGTTTATTTATTTTTTTCTTTTTGATATTTTTATCTTTTCTTGGTGTAAAATTAAGAGTATTGTATTGTATTGTATTGTAAAATCCAGAAATGTTGTTACACCTAAGGCGGAATGCCTCGTTTTCAGTAAAAGGGGGTCTCCGGTTCTCTACACTCAGCACTCTTCTCTACAGCAGCATTAAGCTACTATTTTACGCTGGTTTCTGTGAGGGCGTGGTCCGACCGAGCCGTTACAATTATTACATAGCTCTAATAAGTTAAAAAGACATGCAGGTTTAGTCACTATATTTCCCTTCACTGCCGAACATGTGGTATATCAGCATGAGCCGTGGTAGCCCAGGGCTTAGCGCTCGCCGTAAATTTCAAGAACGCATAGAACACGGTTTAGATCCTCGCAACCAATGAATCCACCACCAATGAAATTGTCCTATTATATGCTGAGTAAAATCAAATTATACCTCTTTTACAGGATCAATTTTATCAAAAAGATTTGGAAGGTCTATATAGAAGATATGACAATAAGCTACGAGAAACTTTTATTCATATTTACATCTGCTTACTTATAGTTTTCTCAACCATTCATATCATTTTAGTTGTAGTCAGTACTTATAATGAGGTAAGTTTTAAATGTTATGACTTGCATATTTTGATAAAAATATATCATAAATGAATATCACTATAGTTTAACTGATTCTACCAACGTTATTGGTCTACAATCTACAGTATTAATACAGTTAATGATTTCTATCTTAAATATTGAATTTATTTTTCCTTTTAAAAATAAATAATGAATTTAAATAGGAATTAAATTCATCATATGAAACTCGACTTTGTATCTACAATAGAATTTCTATTATCATTTTATAGTTACGACGGATTCCTTATTAATCTAATCTAGTAACATGAACCTGTCAACTTAGTAGCTAGAAATTTATTTTAATAATTTATTTAAGATTACCTCATTGGTATTTCAATAACGCTACTTCCGCTTAACACAGTTGATATCAGTTATGATAATGGAAAAGTCCCCAACTCATTGTTAGCAATATGAAGTACTCGGTTATATCGATTTTTAAGTCAGCCGATGGTGCCGTTCTAATTTTAGTATTATGTTAAGGATCGACTCGACCGGGGAATGACCAATTTCTTACAGAATACCATCGTAAAATAGCAGCTACAAAAATTTAAAAAATGGTCATGCTCGTCACCCACCTGAACATGATTTTTCTATCGTATCGAATTCATATTGCTATGCAGTGAATTTGTATGAAAAAAAAACATAGTTAAATTGACGTCATCCAGGGATGCTGTTCATTTTTCATACAATTTTAGTCGATGACGATACGAGAGAAAGCCAAATAATCAGTTGGTTAATAGAATCAGGCGTTACTTTGCGGAAATCCGTTATATTAAAGTTGTAAAATAAATAATTTGCTTATATCCGCGTAATGAAATAACTCTTCAAACTAGGTAAGACAGATCTTTCACCTTCAAACAATGAGCTCTAACCGTATACGGAAACGTTAGTGTCAAAACTTGTTCTAAGTGAACTGATAGGCTTGTTAACAGTCCGTCAGTAGGCCATGGGACTTGATCAATGATTTGCCGTAATCGCCACGTTTGGATGCCGTATTGGCAATCGACGTTCCAAACATCTTGCATCTTTGACGCTGGTTCCTGTTGCTTGTTGTTTATTATAAGCCAGTGCTTGACCACAATCCCACCTGGTAGTATGTGGTGTTGCAGCCTTAAATGGTAAATCGCTATGTCTTAGCGAAACAAAAGCCTATTCCCTCTTGTCTATATTTGATAATAAGAAGTGGTTATAAGTGGACAAGATCTACTAGCACTTCCCTAAATCGACTCTTACGATACTCAGTAGAGAGTAATTCTCTTAAGTCGCCATCACGCAGATAATCTATATAATGTATAATTTAGGTACGAAAATACACATTAATACCTACACATTAATACGGATTTCCTAAATGTTGAATAATTAAAGTTCATTTACCCAGGAAATATTCGATTTATGTAGCTTTTTTTATATATCACCATAGGCAACCGATGGGGAAGAAAGATTCTTGAGTGATAGCCTCGTACCGGCAAGCGAAGTGTAGGGCAACCATAATAGATGTAGGAACAACAAGGTAAGAGATGCAGGAAGTCGGTCGATGCAGGTGGCTCAAGACCGCACATTATGATAATCCTTAGGCAAGGTCTATGTCGATGATGATCGTAACGATATTTTAACAAATGATTTTTTTTAAATATCTCTACTATGTGATTACCAAGATGCATTAACTCAGTCGCGTGAATTAAAGGATTAATTTATTCAAGTTATCCCATATGTTACTCTGAACCAAAAATTAAGTTACTCCGAGTGTTATTTTGTGTAACCTGTCTTAACTGCATGTCAATGAGCTGGACGGGTCAGAAGTCTAGTAAAGAAATAAAAATTCGCAAAATGAAGCAATAACCTTTAAAAGTTAGATTCTTGTTAATAATTAAATACATATATATGAAGGAACTATTGGAGAGCTGACAATAAACATTTTTTTTTTCATTTTTATACATTGTTTATAACTCGTAAGCTTTTGAGTACTATATTAATACTGTATATAAAACAATTCATTTTAGCAAATTCAGTGGAAATCAACGTACCTGTCAATGGGTATGTACTTATTGAGGGTAGCAATTCCTGCACTATCTCTATGGAAATTCTTCTACAACCCATTAAAGAGGAAATGGTTTTGGATACCAATAGTATTCACGTGTATAATAACAGCAGATCTCGTCGCATCAGGTTCGTATCCCTTAATATTATTGCAGTATATTATTTATGTATTACAATTCTTAATCGGCATTGGATATTAGACACGACTATGACTCCCAGCGATTTGCGCAAGTTTTAGCTATTTCATGTCTGAGAAAGAATAATGTTTAAGTTTTTTTATAGGATAAGGTGACAAACGAGCACACAGTCCACCTGATGGTAAGTGGTTGCTGTGACCCATAGACATCTACAACTATCTTCAATAAAGAATCAAAATGCAGATGCGTTGATTCGTAATGATTCGGAATGATCATTACGAATGAAAATGCAGATGCGTTGTCACCCGTGAGGACTAAAATGTAATGCCTCGCTTCCAGTAAAAAGGGTCTCCGGTTCTCTACACTCACCATACGAAACACAGAAGCGTTAAACTGATATTTTACGCTAGTATTCTGTGAGAGCGTGGTCCTTCCGCGGTCGAGTCGACGCATTCGTGCTTACAACTATACTACTAATATAGCTGTAGGATGGCTCTACCACGTGTATAAAGTTATCTATTATAGTAAGGCTAAGGGTAAGGTATGTTCTTAAAACAAAAAAAAACAAAGAAACTTATTTTTTATAAATTTATTGAAATGATTTATTTGTTTTCGACTGCCTTTTACTCTTTAAGTTGACTTAGATTCAACTAAACATATTATGTAATAGAGTTTCACGTCTATTTTTCAGATGTATCAGTAGCAATATACAGTTATCACGAAGGCATACCACTGAGACCGGCGTACGATTCAATGGCGCTCTTATCGGTTTATATTTTTTTACCCATGAGAAACAATATCCTGGCGATATTGCTTGGTCTAATTGTCAGCGTAATTTACATTATGGTCTGCGCTTTCTTCACCTACTATAATGACCCAAATATTCAAGCAGCGGTAAACACCTACTTTTATTTTATATTTACCAATAGATAATAGGTAATACAGAAAGAATATAACAACTGTTATCCAATAGGCGATCACACTTGCGAGCGTCGTCATAGTTAACAAACCAATTTGTGGCAACCGACGAGTGGCGGCTTAGGTACTTATTTTTCTTTTTTTTTCTTTTTAAACGTTACGCTTAACAGGCGGATTGACGATCGCAATACCAGCGATTTTGGACCTACAGCGCTTCACGATCATCATCATCATCATCATTACAGCCCTTCATAAGTCCACTACCGAACATAGGCCTCCCCCAAGGAAAGCCACAAAGCACGGTCCCGAACCACCTGCATCCGTCGACTTTCTGCATGGTTTCTATATTTTCTATAACAAAATAAATTATAAAAAAATATTATTCTAAAAAAATCTGATTAAACAAAAGGAATAATCTTTTTAATAATTCAAAATGATTTCTCATATTTTTGATTCCACAAATCAATATTTTTTTTAGATTCAAATCAAATTATAAAATATTTAAATTTTAAAATTAACATATTTAAATGTAATCAATGTAAAATTAATATTAAATATTCACGAGAAACTCCAGTATAAAATATATAATAACCAGGTAGTCCCTTCGTCGGTAGATGACATTAATAGGGATTCCAGAGTTTCATTTAATATCCATGTCTCTCAAATTTCTCGCTCTTACCACATAGCTTTGGGTCAGGAGTTAAAATACGTATACGCCTGATCCATTGCTGCTATATATTTTGCGATATCTTTTCAGGATCTTGAGATAGGTTCCAGGATTCAGAACGTTCACTACCCGTCATTAACGCATCCAAGTCCATCCATTGTTCTTAATTACAATAAGAATACCGCTTCCGATGCATTGTTCCCAATTAAGGTCATTAGCCAGACAGTCATTAACAAGCTATCGCCAGTCTATACCAATTGTGTGTGCTTTCTTTATTATCGATTATATTTGTTGATATTCACGATTGTATCGTTCCCTTCGAAAACGTTCATAAAATCCAACATTGGTACTATTTCTATGGAATAGTACCTATGTTGTACGATTAGTATTTGCTCGTGTTTCTTTCTACTCGTGATAAGAAAAATGATAATAACATTAAATAAAATAAAATTTTAGGTGACATCGGACATTATTTACCTGATCGGCGTTAATTTGATGGGTATTTATTTTAGACTCATGAATGAAATCGTAACAAGGCGATCATTTTTGGACAGACGAGCTTGCGTCGAAAGTACTTTACGACTAAAATTTGTCAAAGATCAAGAGGTATGTTGTATAATCTGTATAAAGTTATGATTAAATTGTCGTTTACAAAATTAATTGTAAGCAGATATTATAAAAATACTTTTGAATAGTCGAACCCTTTCGTTACCGTTTTGATTTAATATTAAGTATAGGCAAATTATAATTATATTCTTGGCTGAAGATTAAGATAATGATTAACGATGCGCTTCACTGATTTTATCTTTCCTTAAACATGTGTTACATGCATGTATAAACACTTCCAATGAAATTTTTTTAGGAATAATGATAACAGATAGAAGTTAAATTTATTCTTTGTCTATATTTTTTATTACCACAAAAACGTTCATAATCATTTAAAGGTAAACATATTTTAGTGAAGGTGAAAGACAAGCACACAGTCTATGCACTTGATGACATGTATTGGGAATCAGAAACACTGAATCATCCTATTGTAATAAAAATACAAATACATCGTCACCCATTAGGACTAAAATATTACATTTAGCCTCATTATCCGTAAAAAGGTCTTGGTTCTCGTTATTCACTATACAAAAAACAACTGCGGCTCTATTCTGCTACCTAATGTTGGTATTCTGTGAAAGCATGTTTCTTCAACAATACAGCTGACTTATTCGTTCTACAGCTGTAATGCAGCTACAGTGTAATTTTTAACACATTAATAAAATTAATACGTATTTAACCTTTTTAAAGTTACATACTTTACTTACTATGGTGTGAATAATTTGTTTACATTATTACTATCATGAAAGGCTTAATTCAGCAGTGGACTTATGTATACTGCTACAGTTTCAATAAAAAAGTAATTTTTTGATATTATATTGAATATGTTTACTATTTATCCATACACAGCTCGTGTTAAAAATGTTTATAACATTTTCATTTGTTCTCAAAAAAAAGTCCGTGCAAATATACATTAAAGCATTTTTTTTTAATTTTGCAGGAACGCCTTATGCTAAGTATTTTACCAGAGCACATCGTATCGAAAGTACGGCAAGACATAAGGACAATGTTTTTAGATATACAATCGCAAAGCAACACTCTCAACATAAAATCTTTTAAGTAAGAGTAATTTGGCATTATTCATAATGACGCATTGTTTCTGTTATCAGATTAGAGTATGCCATTAAAATTAATCGATTTATACACTTATTTTCCAATTATTACAAACTAATAATACTTTATACGTACCAAAATGCTTTGTTTTTTAATCGACTTCAAAATGGAGGTTCTGTATTCGACCCGTATGTAGGTATGTTTGTGTTTATGTATGTACGTGAATGTATTTATGTATGTATATTGAATGTTTGTATGTATGTGCGCAATTTTCTCAAAAAATAATTATAGACTGGCGTACGAGCTATCTTAAATGTATACATATTATAAATAACATTAATTGTATCTACCTATATGTACTTAGGCGAAAAATTTCTATAACATGATCAATTAATAAATCAGCATGTTTTCAGCAGGCAGCTCGGACGGTTTTACCAATAATTATTATAGAGTGAAGGAAACACCCTACAAATAAGATCGACATTTAAGTAACTAACAATTATTTTTTCCCACTGTCTTTTTTCAACACAATATTTCAACTGGTTTATGCATAAAATGCATTTAATAAGAATTTTTACGACAGTTTAATTTATAAATATTATTAATTAAACTGTCTTATACGTAAACTTTAGGCCTGAAATTGACCCTGATTTACGAATGAGTCACAACCGTTTAATTATATTCCACAGCAAACTATACGTAGAAGAACACGAAAATGTAAGCATTTTGTACGCGGATGTCGTAAACTATACGAAGATATCGACGACTTTGTCACCAATGCGAATGGTGGAGTTATTGAATGAGCTATTCGGTCGTTTCGACGAAGCTTCCGAAGTATGTTTCTTGTTTAAATTAATGACTTACCTTAAATAGTAGGTATAACTATGATATAGTTTTATTTTCTGATGATACTTCATTAATTTTCAAATTAAAACGACAATTACTAAAATATGACGAAGTAAATATATCTATATCTAAATTAGTAAATTGGTTTAACGTTAATAATTTGCATTTAAATGGCACTAAAACTAAATGTAAGAAATTCATAACTCCAAATATCAAACATCTAAATACTAATGTAATTTTAAATGGGGAGGAGCTAAGTTTACTTTTCTTGGAATCACATTAGACACGAAGCTACAATAAGGCCCCCATGTATCAAAACTAGCAAGCATAATTAGTTCAGCAGCATATGCTGTAAAAAAGATCTATGTTGAAACACCTGGAATGGGGCCATAAAAATAATCTATGATTTAAAACCTAATGAGGCGCTCAAACAAATATTTAAGGAAATTATTTATTAACTTTGACCTCTCAATACATTTATGAAAATTCAATGTATGTACACATCAATAAAGGTATAGTTTAAAAAAATAAGTTATATTAATTCTGTGAATACTAGCAACAGACACAAACTAGTAGTACCAGTTACTCGACTCCACCAAGTCAGTATTCGTTCTTTGGGCGACATTTAAGCTTTTATAACAAAATCCCAGAAAATATATAAAATTTGACCTCCTCAAAGTTCAAAAAATTTATTAAGCGAAGTTTGTATAAAAGGGTTATTATAATATTAAGGAATTTATGGAAAATAATAACCCCTGGGAATAAGGTAATTGCTACCAAGCTGTTTCTAATTTGTTTTGTGTTGTTAATTGTGTGACATTTAAGGTTAGGGGGAGTCTTGCTGTTCTTTCCAGGACAGAGGTTTTTTCCGAATCAGTTTAAATTAAACAAAAAAGTGGCGTGATTTTTATATTGAACTAGCTGTTCCCAGCGACTTCGCCCGCGCGTAATTTATTAGGATTGAATTTCATGAGTTTAAATTTTTTGCGCGGAACCCTAATTCTTTTTCTAAAATAAAAGTATCCTAAGTTACTTCTTATAACATCAGCTATCTACTAGTGAAAGTCCCGTCAATATCGGTCTAGCCGGAACAAATAGACAGACAGACAAAAATTTTAAAAATCGTGTTTTTGTTATAAGTACCGTATATAGTTTCATATGCATATAGTAAAAAGCTGTTATTTGGACATTACAAACAGACACTTCAATTTTATTTATTTGTATAGATAAAAAAGTTTCTGTTTCTGTTATAAATTATTTGAAAGTTATTATTAGTATGAAATGTATTTAAAACAGTGTCATAAATGTGTTTTTTGTTTTGCAGGAATATGATGTTCTAAGAATCAAGTTCTTAGGTGATTGCTATTACTGTGTTAGCGGTGTACCGAAACCAAGTAATTTGCATGCCAAAAATTGTGTCGATTTAGGTCTGGAAATGATTAACATAATTAAAGACGTAAGGTAAATTTAAATCTTGTATTTTAACTGGCATATTGTTTTTTTCATAATTTTTGTCAATAAATTATCTTAAATAACGCTAAGGTTATTCATGGCTTAAGTATTGTCTAATTTCTGCCTTAGAGAAAAACGTGCTTTGAATATTGATATGAGGATTGGCGTACACTCTGGAAAAATTTTAAGTGGGCTTATTGGCATTCGAAAATGGCAGTATGATATCTGGTCAAAAGATGTTACTATTGCAAGTAAAATGGAATCAACTGGAAAGGCGGGGTAATATTTTTATTGTAAAATTATAATTAAATAACACAGTTTATACTTTCATAACCCAATTCAATCCTTTGTAATGTTCCCGAATGGCAGCCTCCAGCCTCTTAACGCAAACGGTAACTGTAGGGCGGCACGGCGTCCCGCTAGACGGAGTAACGACGTAAAAGATGCAGGAAGTTGATAGGCTTAGGACCGTACTTTATGGCATTCCTTGGGGGAGGTCTTTCAGCGTAGGACATGCAATAGACTGTAATGACGATGATGATGAATCTGTTAATCTTTTTTTTGCTCTACTATTTTATATTATAATCAAAAACAACCGAATTCCCAATAAAATTACATTAGACTTCTTTCTTTGCTAACTTTTACTCCGAACATTTAGACCTTTCACCAGTGGTAATACTGGAAATTAAAATATATAATTAAAATGATTACATTTTTAACAGGAAGGTGCATATTACAAAACAAACGCTAGAATTGATCTTGGATTTTGCACGGGATTATATAATTGAACCTAATTTCGAATCTCAAAACCATCCATTCGTGATAAAAAATAAGCTGGAGACATATTTACTTTCAAGGCCACAAAGAGTAAGTTACGCTTTGAAGTAAGTAAAGCTTTTTTTTAATAAACCATCTCAAATTCGTGATGAAAATAATTAATTTTGTAGGCAGGGCCCACACTTAAATTTATGAAAATAGATTTTTATATAGGAGAGGGGCAAACGAGCATACGGCTCACCTGATGGTAAGTAACTACCGCCGCCCATGAACAACTGCAACACCGGGTCAATTGGAGGTGCGTTGATAGCCTTTTAGAAAGGAGTAAGCTCTTTTCTTGATTAAAAACACAAACATATCTTGTGATAGAAAGTGTGTGATAAGCTCACTGCGTCGTTCCAATGCTTATGAACGAACTTCACATATTCTAGAAGTTAATTTCTCAGATAGGCATGTTTCACTTAGTCATCACAAATTATAATACATTAATACAACAAATCCAACATAAAATATGTTTCTGATAGAAAACGAGATCAGATGTAGGTATGTGCATCTACCTGATTTTTGGATAAGATTATTGCATAATTATTTAAATTTATTACAACCAATAAGTAACAACAGACATCATGAACTCCTTATGACTCGGTAATATAACAAATTAAAACTTAAAATTAGTCATATTTTTAAAGAACAGTTGACGAAAATGTAGGTTACATTTACAATTTTGGCTATACTACACGAAGGTTTTAAATCATTGACAGAAAATTTAATAAAACTTATTTTCATATACTTTAGAAACACCAATATCGTAAAAACCTATAATAACTTATAAAATCGATTAAGTTCTAGACTATATCTGCTAATTCATTGTTTTATAATCTAAATATCTCGAGAATAATTGTAACGATTATAAATATTTTAATGTAGGTAAATATATAAATATTTTAATGTCCTTCACTGCTGGCCGGATGAGGAAGCTCAAGGTCGTTCAGCGAGCTATGGAGAGGGCTATGCTCGGAGTTTCTCTGCGTGATAAACTCAGAAATGAGGATATCCGCAGTAGAACCAGAGTGACCGACATAGCCCAACGGATTAGTAAGCTGAAGTGGCAAGGGGCCGGCCATATAGCTCGAAGAACCGACACCGATGGAGAAAAAAGGTTCTCAAGTGGCAGCCTCGTACCGGCAGGCGAAGTGTTGGGGTCCCCCCACTAGATGGAGTGACGACCTGGTAAGATATGCAGGATGCAGGTGGCTCAGGACCGTGCTTTGTGGCATTCCTTGGGGGAGGCCTATGTTCAGCAGTGGACTTGTGAAGGGCTGTAATGATGATAATGATGATGATGACCAATGTCTCTTGACAATAAAATTAATATTAAATATGAAGTAAGAAATTCTTAAACCAATTTCGACCTAAGCGATGACTTTCGGATATTATTGTAAGTTATCATCTGCACGGGACATTCTATAGTGTCACATGGTCACAAGTGGACGTTCAAACTCACGTACAGATACTACTTAACCCCTTCTAGGTCATGCCCTTGAATTCAATGCAGGCTTAGATGTAATTTCGGGCCCAAAGACAATAACCGAAAACTTTAAAAAAATGGTGCTTTTAAAACAAATTATATATTATGTATATTTTTCATAACTGTATACAATTATTCATAATCAGGTCATCATAATAACCATCACAGGATCAGGCCTCTGTCACTCTTGCTACCTGCGTGAAATAATTACCTACAATCGCGAGCTGCCCCAGGGGTAGATCGCAGTCGGGGCTAACGCGCTGTGTACGATTGAAAGTTAAAGTTTTTTTAACGCTGTTCACGTAAATAATTTTCTGTAAATACTTGTTTAAATACTCGTCGAAATAGTTTTTGTTTAGTGTTTAGTATATTTAATTGTAGGATATAATAGTTGAAAAAGTTTTAATGTAATTTAAGAATAATATATATGTATATTACCTATCTATTTGATAAATTATAATGACAAAACGTCGTTCCTACTATAATTGTTGCGGGGATGGATGCTTAATGAGCAATTAAAAGGATTCATATACATCATTTTTGAGTTACCGAAGAATAAGAAAGGTAAATTTATTTCATATTTTTGTTTAATAGGTACTTATAGCGATAAAATAATTGAGTACTTAATAATTTAACTACAGAAGTAATACCTAAGTACTTTATTATAAAAGTTAGTTGAAATTTACTTCACTATCCAAGTACCTACTTACATACCCTATACTCGTCTTTGTAATTAAAATATTTTAAGTTATAATAGCGCAAAATACTGAAATTAAAACTTTGTTTACAAGATTTTCAACTGAGTAGATTACGATCATATTTCTGTTAGGAATCGTATTTCGGGTTTATTTGTTGTTTACGCTATCTACTTATACGAACCAAGCATCCCGATCCCCGACGAATGGCCTTTGCAAGTTGCATGCGTTGGGCATCACAGAACTCACATAGTAAATAATATGGTCGATTATAGTCAGCATAGATAGTTTACCAAAGTAACTTACCATTTCACAATGTATTTTTTTAACTTTTATTAACAGCCCTTAGCAACCACGGAAAGTCCGTTGTGACGTAGTAAGGAGAAAAGATGCAAAGTAATTCAAACACTCGCGCGCGGCGATAAAGTTTTATTTAGCTTGCGTGCGCGATTTATCTGATTAATAATAACTTTGTAGGCTATTAAAACGTCGGCAAGCAGTCAACATCAAAAGAGTACTACTTCTGTACGTAGTACTATTATTTATTCTGTGACAGGATGTCATAAGACGACTGCTTACAACAGGCATCCTTCTCCGATATTTGGCTAATGGCCTAAAATAAATCTTACATACCTGTCGATATAAGTAATACTATATAGTACGGTTTTTACTTTTATTGTGATTTTACACCTTTTTCTTCATTTTCGTTGTTACTTCTTCCTCTTTAGCTCATAAATAGTTCGCTGGAAATGGGACTCTCATAGTATAAAAGATTTACTATTATTGCCACCATCAGTAATTGTAGCAACAAATAATTTTTTTTTTCTTTATTGCTTCGCAAACGCATTTGCGATCACGTCTTGCACATCTGAAATTGTTTCCCTACTATAGGTAGAAAACCACAAGATTTTTAGAGTCATTTTCTAAGTCATAGTTCAGATTAATCACAGTACAGCTCCATACACGGCATATCTTATTTAAATTAATAAAACATACTATAGAATTTTGTAAAACTCTGTTGAAATTGGATGAGTGCAATATTTAATTATCTGTTAAAATTCTCAAGCAGTCTTACCCCTAAGCTGGGCTGACTTACAACATCCACCAGATGAAGTGAGATGTTTAGTTACACATGTTAACAATCTTTTTTGTTTTCAGCCTATTTTAGAATACAAACCATTTCGAAGGGCATCGGTGGGCTTTAATAAAATAATTAACTCACGTTCACGCTCGAGAGTAAGTAATAATTCTATTTCAACATTAAAAGCTTAAGTATTATTATCGAATACTGGCTGTTTATCTGCACAATAATTTGTTTCATGCTTTATATTTCTAGTAGCGATCGGAAAATAGGAATTCGTTCGGAAACATCCGTCGGACCACATTTATGGATGAAAATTTAGTCGAATATCAGCAAATGTTGAAAGCAGCAGATGCTCAAATGGCAAAAGAAATTGAAGATATGACAAATGGCAAGTAAGTACATAGTGCCACCGATTTACTTATTCATTTTTAAAAAGAACTCTTGATTTTTTAAAGAAAAGTTGTAAATCTAAACAGTATATCAAGAAAAAAAAACATTAAAGTATTTCACTTATTCATTACTCTTTTAGTATGTTGTTTTAGGTATATTTATTTGTATTTAATCAAATATGAAAGGAAGTAACAGCATGTGCTATAATTTGCATTAAGATATATTTATAATATGTAATTTAGTAAATTTTGTTTTTTATCTTTATTTCAGAGACTATTTTAGAAAAGAATCAAGCCTAAACAGAATAACTTTAATGTACAAAAATTTTAAGTTGGAAAAATCGTTTCTTCAAGTGCCAGATGCTTTATTCAAATATTACATTATTTGTTGTCTTATTATTTTAGTACTAATTCTCTTAATTAATGGACTAACTACAAATTGGTATGTTAGTAAAGCAATCACCAATACTTTATATTTTTAGGTAATTTATCCGGATAAGAAACGGCGTAAGAAAATCCCCTATCCAATATCATTACGTGGGAGGGTCGGTTCGACCGGAGAAAAGCCATGTTCGCACGGAGTAACGCTGCTATTTTATTTTCGTAAAATAGTTTTTTTTGCGTGGTAGATCCATGCTGCAGCTATATTACGAGTAGCAGTAGGTATAGTTATAGCATGAATGGGTCGGCTCGACCGGGTAAAGACCACGCTCTCACAGAATACCATTGTAAAATAGCAGCTTAACGCTGCTGTGTTTTGTATGGTGAGTGTAGAGAACCGGAGACCCTTTTTACTAGAAACGAGGCATTACATCTTAGTCCACACGGGTGACAACGCATCTGCATTTTGATTCGTAATCGAGAATAGATGTAGATGTCTATAGGCCGCAGCAACTACGTACCATCAGGTGAACTGTGTGCTCGTTTGTCACCCTTATCCTATAAAAAAAAGTTACGAGATCTGCAAACTCTTTTTTTACTGGTGACGTGGCGAAGCGAAGAAACGTGATGATAACTACAAATCATTTTCATCTTGAAACATCTTTATAAACACAGTAACACTGAGATTGAATGTCAGTTTTATGAACATAATATTAATGTTTAAATTTTCCTAGTTAAAATTTTATCGATCTTATCTAACAATATTCTTTTAGGTTCTATGGATTCCCATGGTACACATGGGCTATTTTTGGCTCATTAGTGACCAGCTTGATTGTTTTACAACCATTTATATGGTTCCAGTTCCTCTGGACTAAATATAAAGGTATAGATGAACCAAAAATTCAAATACTTCGTTGGATTTATGACATATCAGTTAAAATTATAAAATCCGCAAATATTAAAACTGGGCTTTATATATTAATAAGTTTCGGACTTGCTGTTACTTCAATCGTTAATGTAATCTCATGCTCAAAAATTAGTGTGGAACCTTCAACAGACACCGTTCTATCGAACTGTGTTTCTTCGTGGGTAATCAAATTTCTGAATACTATTATTTCATTCTCTTTATTTCACTTACTAATAATTTCGTTTGTTGTAGCACGTTACACAATGTTGGACTTTGGCTTTGCTTTTGAATTTTCTGTTTAGCAGAGTGTTTTTCATATTTAAGTGGATAGTAGCAGGTATTATGACTATATTTTACCTTTGGATCGTATGGGAAACGAAATCATCCCTTTTCGCTAATGATTTGACTTGGAATGTTGGATTAGACCCGAGGATATCGCATACACTCAGTGTTGTATTTATAACTTTTACCTTATATTGGATTGATCGAACAACTGAATATAGAAACCGCTTAGACCATTTATGGCAGATACAACTAAGTGAAGAACAAACAGAAGCGGAAACTATGTTGAGAGTTAACAATATGCTTTTAGAAAACATACTACCAGCTCATGTTGGTAAGTTGAAAAAGTAAAAAAAAATTAAACAGCTATATTCATCAACAACATTTTAACAAATTTTCATTTTCAGTTCAAGTTTATTTAGATTTAAATAGATCCATTGACGAATTGTATTACGAGAAATATGATAATGTTGCCGTAATGTTTGCATCCCTAACTGATTATAAGCTTGGTGTTGAAGATGACGCAGATTTAAGCGACAAGTTTGTTTTGAGAATATTGGATGAAGTGATTTCTGATTTTGATCGGGTAACATTTATTACTTTTAATTAAAATTAAAATAATCTCTTTTTAATAAAATAGAATAAAAATATAATTTTAGTTGCTGCTGACTGGAACATCAATATACAAAGTAGAAAAAATTAAAATGGCTGACTGGACGTACATGGCAGCTTGTGGCTTAGATCCAAATCGAAGAGAATCAATGGATTCCACATCATTAAATTCCATAGTAAGCAGAAAGCAAAATAGCCCATACAACCGTGCTATAGTATTGACAATGGTTGAATTTGCAGCGGCAATGATGAAGCAACTACGAAATTTCAATCGTGGTTCTTTTCAAAGCTTTGAGGGATTGAACTTAAGAATTGGTAAATATAATTTGACCTATTACAAAATCTCTTTAAGTATGAGAAGTCAAATAATTCTCAATACGATTTTTGTAGTTTTATTGCTTGCTTTTTTGCTTTAAAGACAATACAAAAACGTTAATTAAGTTGATGGCATCATCGTAGTTATACAACCCAATTAATTTACCCCAAACATTCAGGCATATCAAATGGGGAAGTTGCAGCAGGAGTTGTCGGCTCACTTAAACCACTTTATGACATCTGGGGTAATGCAGTAAATATGGCATCCAGAATGGATTCTACTGGAGAAGCGGGCCGAATTCAGGTAATATTTATTCTTAAATCCATTCTACGTATCTAAGACGAATAGAAAACATTGAGACTCCCAGAGAGTAATATAGATATACAATAATGTATTCTATATGTATTCTCTTAATGAAATTAACCACTATGTGGAATACATTATAGTGTCACAACCGTACGAGTGACGTATTTTTAGTTACACGTGGTAGAGCCATGCTGCAGCTATATTTCTGGTATAGCTGTAGCACGAATGGTTCGGCTCGACCGGGGAAGGACCACGCTCTCACAGAATACCAGCGTAAAATAGCAGTTTAATGCTGCGGTGTCGTATGGTGAGTGTAGAGAACCGGATACCCTTTTTACTGGAAATGAGGCATTCCATCTTAATCCTCACGGGTGACAACGCATCTGCATTTTGATTCGTAATCGAGGATAGATGTAGATGTGTATGGGCCGCAGCAACCACTTACCATCAGGTGGACTGTGTGCTCGTCTGTCACCCTTATCCTATAAAAAAAATTTAAACTCAGATCCCGGACTCGGCATTCAATAGCTGTCACAAAGTTATAATATCAGTAAATTTATATTAATATGCTATCATGTTGAGTTAGTTACATAAGATTACGCTATATGTATAACTTAATATAGCACACATGTGCATATATGCTATATACATATTCTTGATATCTTATAATATAGTCTTAAAGTACAATAATTATAATCTTGAAATTAATGTTTTAACAGGTTACTGAAAATACTGCATTACTTTTAGACGAATGTGGTATTTTAACTTTATATCGGGGTGAAACTTTTGTGAAGGGCCGAGGATATATTAAAACATATTTTGTACCGCTTGATGAAAATTTTAATTTAATAAAAAAGGATCGAAGTGCTGACTACTACTATAGCATGGCTAACAGAAAGCGTCATTATAGTATTCGAGATGAATATCTAAGCGATGTTTCAAATGAAAGCGATTCTATTGATATACCATCACAACCATCGGCACGTATTAGAAGAAATATATCTAGAGACAGTAAAATGAATTCAATTAATAATGTTAATTATTATTTAAATAATTATGAAGATGAGACTGTGGATTATAGCCATAGCAACTATAACGGAGATGAAGCAGAGGAGAACTGTGATCTTACAGATAATTTTAGCTTAAGCACCCTTACGTCAAGTTCATGTAATTCTCCATTATCTGAACCAGAACTAATAGAAACTCGATGCTAATGTTTAGAAAAATAAGCTATATTCAAATAAAATAATAAGTCTAAAAATTGTCATACTCATACGGAAGAACTCCAACATTATTATTACATGCATGAGTATGTACACATTATATTGCATGCATGACATTAAACAGTGCTGTTTACTAATTATAACCATGCACGAAAGATAATGTTGCATATACTGTATTTTAAGCATGTACAAAAAGGAGAAGGAGACGTCTTCATACATTCTTGGGCCCAAATGTTAACAAGATGAAAGTAGGACCATTTGAAAAGGTGTATATATAAACAATTCGTAGCTGAAAATGGCAAGATTTATCAATCTAGTAGCTGAGTTATTGCAGAATAAGTAAAAGTGAGATTATCTATTACCTACACTGTAACAGGTGATTTTACACTGTTATTACACTGTAACAGGCTATTTTTCACTATAATTACTTAAAGATATAAATGCAGGATCAGTATAAAATCACCAAAAAAGCTGTGTTTAATAATGAAACGAAATGGTGAAACGATTAACGAAAGTTAAAACAACAACAACTAAGTGAAGTGAATATTAGAGATATCGATCTGAGATCGATTACTTGAATTGTTGTTGTAACTGTTACTTGTTCGAATTTTGATATTTTGTATTTTTTATTATTATTTTGTAGATATGTACGCATTTTTTTATCTCCCTAGTTAATATAGAAAAATAATCGAAAATAAATATTATAATGCTCAATTTAATCAAGAATCGATTATATTGCGCCCGTTTCAAATCGAATTGAAAATCTGTCTTTTTCTTTTAAGTAAATAGTTTGAAGTCTGAACTAGGAAGTCAAGTTTCAAAATGACAAATCCTCTATTGGAATAACGTTCAAAAACGAAAATTTCACTAGTGTATTCTTTATGGTAATCGATTTATTGCCATAAATAATACACTACAATCGATTTTCTAAATTATTTCATATTTTATTGTTTTTTAGAAATCTAGATTGTAAAAGGAGCAACTTTTTTGTATTTTACTTAAGAAAAATATGGACAATTTTTTAAAGTATAAACCAATTAGTTAACTTCAGGCCCAAAAATCCCATTCTCCTTTGAGGAACTCTTATTACGCCAAAATCTGTTTTATAGACTTTAATTTATGGAACTGATATTTCCATTACGCCCCAAAAGCTGGTGATGCATAAGGTAGGTATTTCAGGTGCTTTATAAAATAAATGAGACAAGACAAGGTGATATACATCTATAACGAATATAAACATAAAATTCATATATAAATACAATTTCTCTTAAAATGATCAAACTTTTAAAGCCTGACAAAACCCTTAATAATATATTTGAACAACAGAAACACACTCTAATTGAACACACTAACTGCCGCCACTGTCATCTGACTTCCTAATTTGTAGTACGCTCAATATCTATCACTTTTACCCATATAATATAATGATATGGGTAAAAGTGACTGTCATTTTTAAGTAAAACGTGTTTTACTGTCAATGGCCGAAATGATAACTAAATAGTTATAGATCACATACATACATACCTACTGTAAAGAAGACTGAAGAACACAAACTACCACTTTGTCTAGCGTGTCTTTTGTGGACTATTAGAAAGCCCATTCAGCAGTGCCACGTTAACTGCTGGGAGAGCTAAAGTACTTGAATAGTTAGGCCTGCGATGGCTATCCGAATACAAAAAAAAGAACGAAACCTATTTAACTGGAGTGAGATGTAAGAACCTATCCAACAGAGTAGCGTTATATACTTAAAACTGACACATAGCCGAGGTAGTAATGGATAGGCTATATAGCTCGAAGAACTCACAACCGATAGGGAAGAAAAGTTCTCGAGTGGCAGTCACATACCGGTACACGTGCAACATGGTAGAGCCATGCTGCAGCTATATTAGTAGTATAGTTGTAGCCCAAATAGGTCGACTCGATCGGGGATGGACCACGCTCTCACAGAATACCAGCGTAAAATTGCAGCGATAACTGCTGTGTTTCGTATTCGTATGGTGAGTGTAGAGAACCGGAGACCCTTTTTTACTGGAAACCAGGTATTTACTTAGTCCTCACGGATGACAACGCATCTACATTTTGATTCGTAATCAAAGACAGGTGGACTGTGTGCTCGTTTGGTCACCCTTATTCTTTATAAAAAAAGCTAAGTATAAGGCTGCCATCTAATAGATAGAGTAATGACCTGGTAAAAGATGCAGAAAGTTAAAGGATAAAGTGGCACATGTCAGGACCGTGAAATTTTTAGGGAGAGGTTTTTTACTCTGCTGCTGGACCTGATACCTGCAAACGAGGATGCGGCTTATCTGATGGTAAGTGACTACCGCCTCCCATGAACAACTGTAACACCAGGAGAACCAGGGGAATTGAAGATGCATTGCCGGCCTTTTAAAAAGGAGTAGTATATCTAGTATATCTCAAATAATGCGTTGAAACTATCACACCAGTTGGTCAATATTATGATTGAATCATACGCTTCAGGCGAGGTAACGAAGCACTGGATGATAAAGTAACATCTGTTTTAAGAAGGTTGATAAATTCGATCCAGCTATTGGAGAAGATTATATGTAAAAAAATCCTAGCTGGTGCGGGCAATGGTGCAAAGACAATCCAATTTAGTGTATTCTTGATGTGGGCTTGGACTATTATAAAAAACCAACACAGATATAAATATAGACATATCAACTATAAGCTGCTCGCCTATTACTACATAATAATAACGAAACTGGGCTGCAGATAAATTTTTTAATAATTTTTAATCACAGGCGGTTTTCAGTTTTTCGAGTTATTATGCTGACCCATTGCCACTTCAGCTTACTGATGCGTTATGGTGGCCACTCACGGTCAGTTAAACTGAACAGTTTAACTGATGTATATCCAAAAACTGACCGTGAATGCGAAATCTTAAGTTGAAATTTTTAACTGAAGGCAACACACGGATTTTTTCGGGCGTGCTGTCAGTTAAACTGCTCAGTCGAACTGACGTACATCCAAAAACTGATCGTGAATGTGAAATCATAAGTTAAAATTTTCAACCGACGGCAACCCACGTATTTTTCCGGGCGCACCGTAATCCGCTGGCTTCAGTTCGTTCCCATTATTGGTAAGTACATACTTTCTTAGTAGCTACTTACATTATTTGTATGCTGTTTAGATTTTATATTATTTTACATATTTAGAGAAGTTGTTTTGACGGAGAATGGAGACCAAGGTGATTGTAATGATGTCACCTTCCTTATGGTGGACTCAGAAGGTGGGTAAAGGATCTCAGTGATGCTACTACGTAGAACTATCGTGTTTGGACTCATTTTCAAATAGGTAAATGGAGACCTAGATGATTGTGATGATATCACCTTTATGTTGGTGCAATCCGAAGGTGGTATAGGATCTCAGTGACGACACTAGATAGAATGACCGCGTTTGAACTCATTTGAATGGGCTCATAAAGACCTAGGTGACTTTTATAACCTCACCTCTCTGATGGTGCAATCCGAAGGTGGGTATAGGATCTTAGTGACGGCACTAGATAGAACGATCGTGTTTGAACTCATTTGAAAGGGCTTATAAAGACCTAGGTGACTTTTATAACCTCACCTCTCTGATGGTGCAATCCGAAGGTGGACGGCACTAATTAGAATGATCGTGTTTGAACTCATTTGAAAAGGGTTTATAAAGGCCTAGTTCAATGTGATTATAATACCTTCATTATATTACCTAAGAAGGTGGGGCAAAAGATAAAAATAAATAAAACATTTATTAAATAAATAAAATTTACCATAATGAATAAAATTATCTTAATATCTGACCCATTTCTTAAAAGTGTCGTAATACTGACCTTATCATGAAGAAAAATATCTTTTGAAGTGTTAATATATAGGAAATATATATATATATATATATATATATATATATATATATATATATATATATACGGAACGGATTTCATTTCTCGATCGATGGGGCCGCTGCCGTGCGCGTTTAGTTAGCGTGACTCCTATAAATTAAAAAATATCATTTCCTATCTATTAACTAGCTGTTCCCCGCACCTTCGCCCGCGTGTAATTTATTACTATTGGATTTCATGGGTTTTAATGTTTTTGCGCGGAACCCTAATTCTTTTTCTAAATTAAAAGTAGCCTAAGTTCCTCCCTATAATATCAGCTATCTGCCACTGAACGTCTCGTCAAAATTGGTTCAGCCGATTCGGAGATTAGCCGGGACATATTGACAGACAGACAGAAAGACAGACAAAAATTTTAAAAGTTGTGTTTTTGTTATAAGTACCGTATGTACTTTCATATGTATTTAGTAAAAACTGTTATTTTGACAATACAAACAGACACTTCAATTTTATTTATTTGTATAGATATATATTAATATACAGGAAATGATATAAAATAAGATTTAGATATTATTAAATATCATTTAATTTATCTATATATATGATATTTTATAGGAGTCACGCAAACCAAACGTCCACGGCCACGCCCCACGTTTGAACTAGGGCTGTTGACAAAATATCGATATATCGAAAAATCTATTTTATTATTTAGAAATATCGATATTTATTTCTAATATTTTTGGACGACATATATTGAAATATAAGTTTGATATTGAAATATACATATAAGACAGTCGATATATTTTTTAAAATAATTTAATATTTTATTTTTTCACGTAAATAATTTAATCTACAACACCATCGTAAACTTAAATCCTAAGCCTTGATGGACCCAATCTACTATACTTTATTTACACTATATATATATATATATATATATATATATATATATATATATATATATATATATATATATATATATTTCCCCAGTTTATTTATTTGCTTATTATCTTAAAAAGAAATGTAATCTTGTATAGTATATCTCTGTGATATTAAAATCACTATAATCTATTAAACTTAGTACTACTTTACTTACTGTGAGTTTTGGCAGGAACTGGACCATCAACGGATGGTTGCTCCTGTTTTATCGTTTAAATAATCGTTTGAAGTGGATTTTTATCAGTGATGCGATTATGTGTATTAAGTGTCTGCGCATGTAAGCTATTAGAGAAAACGACGAAATTAGTGCTTCGATGTTGGTATAAGCCTCAAGTTATTTTAATCGCTTAGGCGTCTTATGATTTACTTCCGTGCTATCAGAAATAGCTGTTAAATATTTGATTTCTTCAGCTGCATCCGTAGCATCTGAACGAATTACTTCTACAATCAATCTTTTAGTGCCTAATAATCGCAGTATTGAAACAGCTGAACATATAAAACAACGATTATTTTTAAAAACTCTTACTGAAAAATATTGGTAAACATAATTGTCTTATTTAAATTAAACAATAATTAAAGTTAAAGTTACAGATGTCCCAATGCTGGGCACTCCTCAGCTGGGCAGGCCTCTCCTAATTTCTGAGAGGGTTTTAGGGCAACGTCCGCCACGCTGCCCAATGCGTGTTGGCGAACTTCACGTTTTTTGAAATTTTTATTTTATTTCTCAGACATGCAGGTTTCCTCACGATGTTTTTCTTCATCGTCGAACACGTGGTAAATCAGCACTTAAAATTGCAATTAACAATTTCATTGGTGCCGGCTGGGATCGAACCCGGTTTGCTCGCGTACTGTGAAATTTACAGCGAGCGCTAACCATCTGAGCTACCACGGCTCATTAATAATTACTAAGAATTATAACCTAACATTTTCATTCATTTATAATTTAATTTGTTTAATAAATATACTAAATTATAAACTATCTAAATCATTTTTAAGCAATAAGCATCGATATATCGCTTATGTTTTCGATTTATAAAACTCCGATATTGATATATTTATAATTATCGATATATTGAAAATCCGATATTTTAAAAATATTAACGGCCCTAGTTTGAACTGATCAGTTGGAATGATCAGTTGAACTGACCGTGTGTGTCGAAGTTTTTTTGGATTAAATCCGTTTGAAGTCATCAGTTGAACTGATGTCAGTTTAACTGACCGTGAGTGGGGACCATTAGTATTATAAATTTAAACAATTCTAAAAACATACTTATAATACTAGTTTCCAATAGTTTATAGAAGTTTCAGATAAGAGATATTTAGTTTATTTTACATTAGAAGAAATATCGTTAAAAGTTTATTCGAGTGTGTTTATAATTTATAATCAATTGAATTTATAACAACAAAACAAATTTAAGTGTTCTAATTGCCTAAATTTGGAAAAGCTTAAAAATTTAAGATAAAAGAATTGTTAAGTGCTTTGAATCTTTTAAACTCTTAATATTTCATATGTTATTTTAGGTATCTATGTGATACTTCAAAGAAAATGATATTAATTGTGACAGCTGTTATTAATAATTATGTTATTGTGATATGTCTAGATCCAGTCAGTAGAAATAATATCCATTGTATTTAATTTATTAACTTAATTTTTTTATAATCATTAATTTATAAAAATAGTATATTCAAATATAGTCAATTTATATTATTGCACTGATTTATTTTATTTGAAATAAATTAAGTTTGAAAGGAGCTCAACGGCGAGGGGGAGTTGCGCAAAAAGTGCGAGGCTGATATTGAAAAAAAAATACATTAGAGTTATGCTGCCATTATAATATAGCTCTCACAGAATACCAGCATAACATAACAGTTTAATGCTACTGACCTTCGTATGGTAAATGTAGAAAACCGACCAGACACTTTTTACTGGAAATGAGGCATTCCGTCTTAGTTCTCAGGGGTGCATTTCATGCGAGAATCAAATTCTTAATGGAGGATAGATGTATATGTCTATAGGGCACAACATTGACTTACCATCAGGTAGACAGTGTGTTCGTTTGTTACCCTTATTCTATATAAAAGGTGTTAGTAAAAAGAAGATTTTAATTACTTACTTAAAAAGATAATTTAATTACATACTGTAGCTGATCTTATGTTCTCTCGTATATTTAAGCTGCCAAAGAAGAGTAAGCTCCCAGTCGGAACCATTAATGCTACCCCTCACCCCGCCCGCTCGTTTTTGAAGTATCTTCAAAATATATATTCGTAACATTTTATTCAAAAGTATTCAACACCAGCTAATTTTCATATTCTTTAAGATTTTACTAGTATCATCTAAAAAGAAAAGGCGGGAACTGACTTTCATTCTCAAAACACCACAACCTATTCACCTGGAGCCGCGCCGGGCTGGGGGCATGGCCCATTGCTACTCCACTTAATTGTAAATGGTTTCGGTAATGTAGATAACATTGTCCAATGTTATTTGGAGAAGTTACATCATTGTCTTAATTACAAAAAGTATGGTTATGATTGTAAAAATAAGAAACCTAATTTAAAAATTAAACATTTTCGTAAGGAAGTTTATCGCCCAACCTCCTCTACGAAGCCACTCCTCTACGAAGTTGTGAATCTGTAAATCCCAACCTGAAGTTGGAAAATAAATAAATAAAATTACTACACTTTGTAAGGAATATATTCTCCGTACTATTTCAGAAAAAGATCTATAATACCTGTAGTTGATATATTTTACAAAAATAATAACGTTTGAAAAATCTTAAGTCATTGTTTCTTGTCACAAATAAATATAAGGGGATGAAAATAGCGTATAATTTTTAATAGCGGTAAGTTTACAAACGACCATACAGTCCTTCCTCCTCATTGTAAGCGCCTACTGTGGCGCATAGACACCTAGATAAAAAATCCAAATGCAGATGCATTTGTAGAAACTAAGCTAAAATGCCTCGTAACCGTCTTTGGTTCTTTCCACTCACTATAAACAGCACCATTACGCTGCTATTTTACGCTGGTACAATATGAGAGCATGACTCTTTCTCAATTTAGCAGAACCATGTGTCCCGCAGCGTGTTTCTACCAAGTTATAATAAAGAATATAATATGGAAAAGATAGGGTGAAAAGGATAAGTTAAAATGACAATCCAATAGATAAAAATAAAAGGATCGTCAAGAGTAGGAAATTAGCGGTAACTCAGAAAACTAGAGTCGCATATTCTTATTTCTTACACATGTGGCGAGAACAATTGCACAAATAGTAAATAGTAACAGAAATATTACATTTTAAGGATTCATTGTTTGTAATTAAATGGCTCTTCGGTTTTCTACACTTATCATACAAAACACAGCAGGATTAAGATGCTATTTTACGCTGGTATTCTGTGAGAGCGTGGTCCTTTCCTGGTTGAGCCATCCAAAGCGGATTACAACCATATCATATAACTATATAACATACTATATAACTTAGAAGTATTAACTATCGTTACATATTTGTATAAACCATTGAGTTATATGTACTACGTACCAGAGAAGCCATTCCAAACAAAATTGTGTCCTACTCTATGTCTTCGCGCATGCGCCGGAGTAGTAGTCGCGCATGCGAGAAGACTTTAATTTAATATAAAATAAGATATTAATATAAAATAAATATAAGAATTTAATATAAAATATCTTAATTTAATCTAAACAAACATATTTCTAAATAAAATGTAATTATAATTATTTTATGGAATTCACAAATCTTCAATTTACGCAATATTTAGTTTGTATGGATTGTACTACAGTTCAGTTGAACATAGTCAATGTTCGGAATGGCTTCTCTAGTACGTAGTACATATAACTCAATGGTATAAACTTTTAATAATAGCTAGCGGCCTATGAAGATAATTTATAAATAACTTAAATAAATTATCTTTATCTGCCGCCTAAGCGCCTAACTGACACTCAATTAGGCACTTAGGTGCCCTATAGTGACGTTGTAAGAGATTTCACTATTCCAAATCATCCCGTGAGTGTCGTAACAACAACAGAGGGGAACTGAAACAGGATATGGATAGCAGCATTTCCCTGATAGCCTTTTTTCTAATAACACATCAAATGGAGTTGTCGTTGTTTTATGTAAGTATTGTACGTAGCGAATAATAAATGTTATTCAATTCCAAATAATTTCTAAGTCACGAGAAATTATAATATTTTATTTAAGAAAATCTTTAACAAGTGATAATTAAGTATCTACAAAACTACATTATTGTACACATCAAATAACAGCAACCAATAAAATGTTTTAAAAGTGCTTGAATTATTGAAAAATTCTTAGTCTAGTTGTACTTCAAGCAAGACTGGTGTTTTGTCAAAGAAACATAGAATAACTTTGTACATTGTTTCCAAGGGGTTTTTCTCATTTATCTTGGCGCACTCATCAATAACCTCTTTAACTCGTTCTTTTTTGTCGCTCTTCTCGTACAGTGCCAGCAACTTATTCTTGTGAAAGTGACCAGTGTCATCACTGAAGCCTGCTTTTTTGAAGAGGCAGAACGAAAATTTCTTGCTTGTTTTATTATTGTCAAATTGCCACTGGAAAACTCGTTGTAAGATATTAAGATCGGCACCTGTTTCGGCGATACATTCCACAGACTTCTCAGTTATAAGGCCGACAATATCTGACGGCACGTATATACTTGCCTACGAAAAAAAATACATTATTAATATGGCACACTAATTCAAATTCGCTAAATTAAAAGGTTTTGACAGGAACGTTATTAAGAACTATATACTGATACTTTCTCTGGCCTATCTTTGACCACATCAATACATACACTCAGGGACGCGCACTTACATTTGAAGGGCACAGGAAAAAAAGGAGCTCATTGACAATTTTTTCGTTTTTGGAATGAACTATACCATTTTACTTCGTTTTCTATGGCCAATCAGAGCACGTTATTTTAAACACGATAAAAGGCGCTGATTTTTTGTAAGGTTAATTGAAAAAAATCTACTTTAGGATAAAACGCGCTCATTGCATTCCATACCGAGTAAAAAGGTGCCCATTGTCTATGAAACCACGCTAGAACGGGCTGATAGCAGCGATTGTAACAGAAAACGCGCTCATAGCCGGCCATCGTTATTATTTTGTCATACAAGTGTCAGCTGTCAGATAAGCTTCCTTGCATAAATTTTACGACTCCTTTAGTGTACGTTAGGTTTTAAAAGCTTTTGCTTATTTATCTCAAAATGGACAATAATACGTAGAACACTCGAAGTATTCTAGATACTATTAATATTTATTTTACATCTTTTCAAAATATTGTCCATCACGTTCTATACAAAGTTCCATTCGCCTAAGCCAACTCTGAAAACACTTTTGCCAGTCTTGATATGACAGGTCGTAAATCGCTTCTTCGTAGGCAGCCACGGCTTCTTCGGCGCTTGAAAAAAACTTGCCTTTTATTTTTTCTTTGACTCTTGGGAACAAAAAGAAATCACAAGGAGCTAAGTCAGGGCTGTAGGGTGGGTGACTTAGAGTTTCAACACCAGATTCCTCAATAAATGCTTTTGTTCTAAGGCAGGTATGTGAAGAGGTGTTATCGTGATGCAGCATGATTTCCCGAAGCCCGGTCTTTGGTCTTCTCTCCCGCACAGCTTGAAAAGCTTTGGGTAATGCAACTGTAACATACCATTCAGAGTTGACTGACCTACAATTTTCCAGCATTAACGTCGACAAATGTCCGCTCCGCGAAAAAAAACTATCATCATCATCATCATTACAGCCCTTCAACATAGGCTTCCCCCAAAGAATGCCACAAAGCACGGTCCTGAGCCAACTGCATCCATCGACTTCCTGCATATCTTACCAGGTCGTCACTCCATCTAGTGGGGGGACGCCCTACACTTCACCTGCCGGTACGAGGCTGCCACTCGAGAACCTTTCTTCCCATCGGTTGTCGGTTCTTCGAGCTATATGGCCGGCCCATTGCCACTTCAGCTTACTAATCCGTTGGGCTATGTCGGTCACTCTGGTTCTACTGCGGATATCCTCATTTCTGAGTTTATCACGCAGAGAAACTCCGAGCATAGCCCTCTCCATAGCTCGCTGAGCGACCTTGAGCTTCCTCATCCAGCCAGCAGTGAAGGACCACGTCTCAGTTCCGTATGTCATCACTGGCAACACGCACTGGGTGTACAGTCTAAAATTAGCCGCCATTTAATTTTTTTGCCAACGTTGCGAGGTCTTTGCAGTTTTGTCATTAACTGTCCTTCTGAGTAGACTCATACCGATGATTGCCTTTTATTTTCCGGATCATATTGATAGATCCATGTCTCGTCACCAGTAACGATTTCCGAAACACGCCTAGATGCCCCGTTTTCAAAACGTAGACGCATTTCATGGCAGCAATCGACAGGAGTTTGTTTTTCGCTTTCGGAGAGCAAACGAGGAATCCATCGACAACAAAGCCTCCTCACTCCAAGATGTTGATGTAGGATGGTATGAATGCTCCCCGAACTAATGCCTACAACCTTTTCGATGTCCGTATATGTAATCCGTGGGTCTTCTCGCACCAACATCAGTAGTCCATACATTTTCTCCCATTACTGCTGTTTGCTGGGCCCCAGTACTTTGGTCATCTTTAAAATTAATTTTACCCGAATATATTACTCGAACTTACTCCACAAATAAATTTCATGCTAAATAACATGTATTTTATTTCATTAGTGTTTTTATGTAACTAGACATTGTTTATGATCACCAATTAATTTGTAAAATGTAAAAAGGAGATCATTGTGACAATGAGCACCTTCTTGCCAATTACATTTGCGAGTTAGGGAATTAAATTACAAACTATTATTTATTTACCAACCCAATCTTTTAAAATAAGAATATATTATGTTAAATATTCACTGTTCCTTTTTTATATGGGTACAAATCCTATTCTAGTAGAGTTGTAAGTGTAGAAATTGAAATTTTAGGTTTAATTCTTTAATTACTCGAAACAATGAGAATGTTAATGAGCTCCTTCTTTTCCTGTGCCCTTCATTTGTATTTCATAAGTAATTTGAAGCGTCAGTAGCCTAATGGCAGGGCGCGGACCGCGAACTCGAAAGGTCGTGGGTTCGAATCCGCCATTCGACTACTGTCGTGAACCACTTCTAACACAAGCATTTTAAGCTTACCAGAACTAGTTAAAGGGAATATTAGTAACGTTTAACAGCAATACTAGTATTTTTTCTAAAAAAAAAATTATTTTCTATTACAGTAGAAACTACCTAATAAAACCAATTTGAAATTACTTATTATTCAAAATACGACATAAATTGTTTATCTATCTTGGTTGCCGTGCAGGCGGTGTATGAGAATACACTACCTCGTATCATCCCGTAGAAGAGATACAGGGAAATGAACAGGAGATAGGTAGCAAAGCACGTTCCTGATAACAACACTACGGTTGCTAACTCACCTACCAAGCGTGACAACTACGGAAAATGCACCCCATAAGGCAATCTAAGGAGTATGTTCAGAAGTAGATATTTGATAGACTATAATTAATTAGCAATGGAAGAGTGAATGATCTATCTAAACTCTAAAACAAGTACGTAAGGTATTGTTGCTATCCAAGTTTTCGTCAATGTTCATAATTTTGATTTCTCTATTTTTAACTAAGTATCTATTAAATTAGTATTTTAATAAGTTACCAAAAGTAAAACAAAATATGTAAGCTTAACCAAAGGTATAATTTGTGGAATGATTTATATTTCACTAGTTTTTCCACCTACATGGAAACAGAAACGCCTTCGTGTTCATTTTCTAGTGGTAACTTTTCTTTTTCCGTGTTTTTTCTTTCATTGAAGAAGTCTACTTGATGGTAAGTGAATGCTGTAGTCCATAGATATCTACATCTTTTCTCTATTAAGAATAAAGATGTAGAATGCGTTTACACCCCTGAGGATTCCGGTTCTTTAAACTCATCATACGAAACACAGCAGCATTAAGCTGGTAGTTATTTTAAGCTGATATTTTGTGAGAGTGGGGTTCTTCTCCGTTTGAGCCGAACAATTCATGCTACAACTATAATATAACTGCAGCATGGCTCTAATCGTTCATCAGTATCAACATTACACAACATTACATTACCCTTCACAAGTCTACTGCTGAACATAGGCCTCCCCCAAGGAATGTCACAAAGCACGGTCCTGAGCCACCTGTATCCATCGAATTCCTGCATGTCTTGCGAGATCGTCGTCTTGCTAGATGAAGATCTAGTGGAGGGATGCCCTACACTTCGCCTACAGATACAAAGCTGCCACTCGAGAACCATTCTTCCCCATCGGTTGTCGGTTATTCGAGCTACATAGCCGGTCTATTGCCATTTCAGCTTCTGACTGAGTCACTGTGGTTCTACTGCGGATATCCTCATTTCGAAGCTTATCACGTAGAGACACCCCGAGCATAACCCTCTTCATAGCTCGCTGAGCGACCTTGAGCTTCCTCATACGGCCAGCAGTGTAGCACCTCGTCTCAAATCCATAAGTCATCACTGGCAACACGCGCGGGTTGTACAATCTCGTTTACAAGTTTTGAAGCGTATTTTAACAGTGGTAGAGCCACGCGGCAGCTTTTGCTGTCGCATGAATGGGCCGGCGCAAACCGGGGTGATACCACGATCACACAGAATACCAACGTGAAGTAGAGGTTTACCTCTGCGTTGCGCTTGGCGAGTGCAGGTAGCCGGGAGCCCAAGCCCCCCCCCCCACCTATAAACATGGTAGCGGAATTGAACAAAAGACTACCACAGGAGGGTACCAGCACTCCTGGAGAATCCCGCACTGAGCATCCACGACCAAACTACTCCACTCCTGAGCGTGGGTGCTAATACTGCTCGGGGCAAGCGGAGCAATAAGACCGAGGCGACCCTTGTCACGCTATCCGTGAATTTTTGCAACATTAGGGGACTTCATTCCAACCTTAACGCTGTCTATTACCATCTAGAGACGGCAAAGCTGGCCTTGCTCTTTTTAACCGAGACTCAGGAGTCCTCTCCGGCTGATACTTCATATCTCTTTTACCCGGGGTACAAATTAGAACTCTCCTTTGTGCCCCGGGCTGGAGTTTGCATATATGTCAGAGAAGACATCTGTTTTCGACGCCTCGGCAGTCTTGAAGGTACGGACCTGTCCATCCTATGGCTGCGCGTAGACAACGACGACCATCCCCGCACCTACAGGTACCTCTATAGGTCCCATAGCATTAATGCCGACACAGACCGACTCATCGACCACGTCCAAATGGCTGCAGACTCCGTGCTACAACAAGTCCCACCCGCAGAGATCGTGATACTCGGTGATTTTAACGCCCACCACGCTGAATGGCTTGGTTCTCGTTTAACCAATCATGCGGGTAGATCTGTCTATGACTTTGCCTTGGATGATGACTATGACATCGCAAACACATTTGTCGAACACCCTTTGATCGGTGCATAAAAACCGACACCAACGCCGATCACTGGCAATCACATACAAACAAACAAACAAATAGGCGAACAACCATCCACACGTTTGTGATTGCTGTTTGGTGTATGCTGTTTGCCGTTGTTTGCCAAGCGTGTGGATGAGGCATAACACAACCGTGGTTTAACATCGTATGTTAGAGTAGGATAGCACTACAAACATCATACAAACCATACTATTGTCCTGACACAACTGGTTACATCACCTACGCGGATCCCAGATGTGGAGGATCATGTACTTTCCCTGTTGGACCTTCTGCTGACCTCTCCGGATGGATATCAGGTCTCCATCGATGCCCCTCTGGGCTCTTCGGACCATTGTCTGATCCGGAGTACGGTGCCACTCACGCTCCCATCGCAGTTGCGATCTGCAGCTTGCCGCCGTGTTTGGCACTATAGGTCGACCGATTGAGACGGGATGCGGTCTTTTTTTGCATCTTACCTTTGGGGGTGGGTTTGCTTTTCGCCGGAAGATCCCAACGTTGTTGCCAATTCTGTTGCTGATGTGGTACTTCATGGTATGGAACTTTTTATTCCATCCTCTGTGGTGTCCATCGGAGGCAGATCCCAGTCATGGTTTGGTCGCTCCTGTAAAATAGCATCACGCTATAAGCAGGAGTGCTACTAGGCCTGGATTGACGCATCAACGTCTCGGGATGTTAACACCAGCACTCTTATAAAGAAGTATAATTCCGCCTCCAGGTCCTTCAAAAGTGTCAATGCTAGGGCAAGGTTTGAGCACATTAGCAGAATTGGCGAGAAGCTAGTTCGCCTTCCTTCGGGAACCCGTGCATTCTGTTATCTTGCCAAGGCTGTCCAAAGAAATTTCTGTCAGCCATCTCTTCCATTTCTGCACAGAGAGGAGACCTCACTGGACAGCACTAGGTTCTCAAAGTACTCTTCTCCCTGGACGTCAGCAAGTCGAGTGGGCCTGATGGAGTCCCTCAAATTGTGCTAAGGACGTCTGCTCCCTAGCTGGCACTGGTCTTAACGCGTCTTTTTCGGTACTCATACTCTCAAGGCGTAGTCCCGAATTCATGGAAGACAGCTTTGTTCCACCCGATCCCTAAGAAAGGTGACCGCTCAGATCCGTCCCACTACAGGCCTATCGCCATCACCTCCTTGTTCTCCAAAATAATGGAATCCTTTATAAACTGACAGTGCATGAGGTACCTTGAGGATCATCAGCTGATTAGTGACCGCCAGTACGGTTTTCGTCGGGGTCGATCAGCTGGTGATCTTCTGGCCTACCTGACTCATATATGGGCAGAGACAGTAGAGTCCAAGGGGGAGGCCGTTAGTTTGGACATAGCGAAGGCCTTCGATCGGGTCTGGCACAAAGCGCTTCTTTCGAAGCTGCCTTCCTATGGGCTTCCCGAGAAATTGTGAAAATGGATCACCAGTTTTCTTGCTGATCGAAGCATCAAGGTCGTAGTACAAGGTGCACGATCTGATTTCAAGCCTATCAGGGCTGCATACTATCATCAACGCTGTTTCTCTTGCATATCAATGATATGTTGCAAACTGGTAACATTCATTGCTATGCAGACGACAGCACTGGTGATGCCTTATATACCGGCCGTGCCAATATTTCTCGGGAAAACGTCGCCGATTACCGTGAAAAACTTGTGTCTGAAGTCGAGTCTTTACTGAACAAAGTCTCGGATTGAGGGCGACTAAATCTAGTCCAGTTCGATCCCCAGAAGACACAAGTTTGCGTATTTACCGCTAAAAAGAACCCCTTTGTTGTATCTCCTCAGTTTCAAGGCATTTCCCTTGCTGCCTCAGCTAACATCGGAATCCTTGGCGTCGACATATCGAATAGTGTGCAGTTTCGTGGTCACTTGGAAGGGAAGCCTAAATTGGCTTATAAAAAGCTTGGCGTGCTCAGCAGAGCGAGACAGTATTTCATGCCGGCACATCGCTTGCAACTTTACAAAGTGCAAGTTCAGCCTCACATGGAATACTGTTCTCATCTCTGGGCCGGGGCACCCCAGTGCCAGCTCCTTCCACTTGAACGCATCCAAAGCACAGCTTTTAGAATCGTCGACGACCGAGTTCTTTCTGATCGGCTCAATACACTGGCACTACGTAGGAATGTTGCATCCCTTTGCATTTTCTATCGAATTTACTACGGGGAGTGCTCTGAGGAATTGTCCGGATTAATTCTAGCCGCCAAATTTCACGAATGCACATCGCGTCAAAATTCACTATACCATCCACAGCATCTGGATGCTTGGTGGTCCACGACTGTGCGTTTTACTAAGAAAAAAAATCTGACGAGAAGATGCGTCGTAATCTCCCGTCCGTCGTAATCGTCAAAATTTCAGTTAAATCCGATAGCTCTTTTTGTGAGATTGACACCTTAATACAAATATTTTTATAATAATCCAGTATAGAGCATTAATATAAGAAACATTATTATAAAAGAAAAATCTTACCTTTTTAGCGCTCGTAAGCCCAGTAGATAGGGCGCAAACTAATGTCAAAGAAAGTATTTTGAAAAACATTTCAGCTATTTTGTTACTGATGCGATTTGAGGCACTGCTGAAGACTGTATATTGTTGTTCATTCACAACCATATTTATATACCTTTTTGATTCTAAATTTGGCATATAAAATGGCAAGTCGTATATTATCCTTTTGAAGTCATAACTCAGTCACATTTCATTAATTTATTAACGTTATCTTGCTAGCTGCTTAATATATTCTTTATTATATTTTATTAAAACTATTAACGATTTTTTATGTTTTTCTATTTTTTCTTTCAAGCAATACAATACTTTGTATAATATAATTTATTTTTATAACTACTATAACACTCATTTTTTATTATTAGGTTTTTTATTGTGGGTTTGTATAACATTTGAAATCAAGTTCAAGCCGGCAATGAAACAAAGAATAACTATAATAAATAAATAGTTTGTAATAGGGGTTACAATATTTTTGCTCTATTACCGACGACATAATAGATAATATCGATTTGGTATTATCTATTATGTCGTGTAATCTGCTGTTTATAGGATGAGATTAGGTGAGGTGTTAAATCCAATTCCCATCGATCGTGAAAATGTATAAATGTCTATGTCATCACTTGAACTTGAAGGTCATTACATAATTATATAATCAAAAATTGACTACACTATATGCAGACGCTATAAATACATTATAATATGCCAAATCTCCTAATTAAGATGATTCGACAATAAAAACACAAAATAAAATCTAAAAACATGAAACTACATCCAAGTCCATCATCAAATCAGCTGCATGATACCATATGGCTGCTTCGTTGATCTAGTGATCGTAAGCGCGGTTACTTATTTTAAGTTCCCAATTTTGAATCCCCGAGTCGCACCAAAATCAGTTATTGGGTTTTCCATCTTAACCCTGACGGGTGATAACGCATCTGCATTTTGATTCTTTATTGAGGATATATGTGGATGTCTATGGGTCACAGCAACCACTTGCCATCAGGTGGACTTTGTGCTCGTTTGTTACCCTATCCTATAAAAAAATCAGGGAATTGGTGGCGTTTCAACCCGTGCATCAGAAAGCACGTAAATTCGTTGGTCCTGTGCCTGATTTATCTGCGGCCGTGTCGGATAACCGTCTCATTGGAGTATGAGAGTGTGGGATTAGAGAATGCGCTTGTGCTTGCGCATACACTCGGGCAATATAATCCTGTTTTGCGTAAATGGCTATAGTCCCTGTTGAGACTGGCCGTCGTGACCGAAATTCGGTCTGGAGTATATTATTATTATGTGGGGTATCTATATAGTTTTCTCATCTGGTTGGGCTGTATAAATATATAATTGTAAATGAAGATGATAAACATACATAAATATCAGTAAAATAAAATAAATACATAAAAAATACATAAATAAATAAAAACCTAACCAGATGGAAGTTCTCAGCAGGGGAGACCAAACTGCCGACAGTTAGGGGGAAAGGGAAAAAAACCGGCGGACAATGCAGGCGGTATCGAGGAGCACCGCCTTCTGCATATGAGCTTGGAGCGGTCCGTTACGGGCTCCCAGTCGCCTCAGATGACCCGAGAGGCTGACTGGGATTAACCCGTTCGCAGAAACGACTACAGTTATAACTTCGGTCGGCAGTCCACCACACATGTTGGTCACCTCGTGAGCCAGGTCCAGATATTTTGTAACTATCATCGAAGTTACATAACATTATTCAGATAATTACGAGTATATAGATACGTTCAAATACGTAAATTATGATATAGCTATTAACTCGTTTTAATAATATACACGAAATCAATAAATATGTTATTTAACATTTCACTATCTAAATAATTATTAATGCGCATGAATTTATCATAACAAATTATATTTGCAAATGTTGTATTTTTAATAAAAGTTAACCTTGATGCGGAAGATTCTTATACTTAGTAAACACGTTTTTCCATTAGAATGCTTATAATATTGGCTGACACTGGATTTTTCTCATTTCTAAGAGGGTTTTAGTCCCAAGAGCCCACCGCAATACCTAATTTTTCATTTGTTAGTTATGCAAGTTTCCTTCTGCTGCACAATATTTTGTTTCACCGTCAAGTACATAGTAAAATAGTAAACTTGCATATTATAATAATATTAGTCGTAAACTAAGAAATAATAAGACAGGCGTTTATCCCTTGGGCTTCCATGGCTCTGTTATGAGTAGTTAGCTCGGACAGTAATAGGTCCAAAAAATATTTTAAATATAAAATAAAAACATTAAATTTGATGTACCTAAATGCCATCTTCTTCATCATCAGTAAGTAATACATTGCTGGACGTGGGTGTAGCTTACATATTATATAAAAGCCACATCGCATTAGCAAACGTCTCATATATTTGACACTCCTCCTCTTGATTCACTTCTTCGGTCTGGGTATATTTCATTTGTCATATTACAAAACCGTTATGTTTCTATTATACGGAAACCGTAATATTTTCTTGATACTGTCCAAAACAGCTTTTACAATCCCTCGGGACGAAATGGGACAACGCCTAGGGAGTAGGAGTACCGAAAAAGACGCGTTAGAACCGGTGCCAACTCTGGAGCACACGTCCTCAGCACAATTGGCAGGATTCCGTCAGGACCACTCGACTTGTGGATGTCCAGGGGGAGGAGTGCTTTGCGTACTGTTTGTGGAATTAGTTACAATGTGTGTGTTTTTTTGAGCTAACAGTCCACTTGGCGGTAAACTTTGACTCTTCTACAGCACATGGACACCTGCAACCCACTTTAAACAAAAAAGGGTACAATTACGTTGTACTCTGGAATATGATATTTTTTTATTTTGTTCTGAAAATATAAAGGTCAGGTGTTAGTATAATTTAATAAATGCCTAATGGCTAATATTGTTAGCACTGAAACGCTAATAGTCTTCTGTATAAATTTTCCACCCACCCTTCAAAGAAACATCCATATTCCATACACCTTCAAAATCTCTGTAATTGACAAGTAATTGACTATTTGTCGCAAAACTGAAATTACTTAATTACGGTTAATAGGAAGATAAAATACATTATCCAAAAAGTAAAACATAATTACCGCCATCTAAGTGAATTATTGTAAACTTAAACAAAAATGACTACAACAATGTGCTTTTTAGCAATTGTTAGGTCAGTATCTTATAGCAAACATAGATGGCGTCTTGCTTCATTGCTTTCTTTCTGTTAATAAAAACATTATTGTTCAATGTGAGGAAGGTTAATATGCAACATAGAATCGACTCCATTGTCGCATTCACTAATTTAAATTAGTTGGAACTGATTCCGAACTGTATGTCAGTTGATTATGATGCTCAATAAAAGCAGTCATGGTCATTGAGTTATTATATACTGTACGTAAGTACATTATACTTTAATGGTCTTGGTAGCCAAAAACTTGGCAGAGTTAAAAAGTAAATAATAAGATAGCACATTTGCTACCAATCTTAAATTATATTTGGATAGGTAATACCTATATTTTGTCCAAAACTTTTTCTATTAAATATTTATGTCAATTGAAGGAAATTTGTCATTATTACTATTACAATTATATGTCAAATTTAAATTATTATTAGTCATTAAATTATTCATTTGTGAATTTAAATTGTCTTAGATTATTTTCCTGTTGCAATCCCTGTATGTAAAGCAGTGTTAACAAGACAACTTTGTGTACATTTAAGTTATTAAGTAGTTCAATATCTCTTAATAACTGTTTGTTGTTTACACTGCCTCATCTACCAACAAAAAAAATTATTGTACTATTTGGGCAAAATTTAGTAACTATAATTTTGTTTAGGATGTCACTAAAAGATGCTCCAGGCATGCAGCAATTTGTAGTTTTTGTCAAAGTGTTTTTGTAAGTGTAAAGAGTTATTTAAAGTTATGCCTAGATTTCTCCCCATGTCATCGATATAAAAAATTATATTATTTTTGTTAATATTTGAGTAATTTTTTATTTTAATCTCCTCTGCTATGGCACTGTCATAGAGTTTTGGTGGTGGTGTAATATCATCAGCACACATCGACTCTGAAGAAGCTGTATTGAAAGCTGACACTCAAATTGATGTTTAACTAAGGAGTCAGCTCCTCATTATATTTACATGTCTTTACCAGATTATCCATAGCCAGTATGTGTTCTTTTATTTCATTTCGGCCTCGGTAAAAAGGGGCTCCGGGTATCTACACTCACCATAGGAAACACAGCAGCATATTAAGCTGCTGTTTTATGCTGGTATTCTGTGAGAGCCTGGTCCTTTCCGAGCGAGCCCACCCATTCGTGCATTAACCATAATATAGCTGCAGCGTGGCTCTACCGCATAGATGTATACTTCGGTGTAAAGCTATCTCATTACAAGAAGGCTAACTACATCTTCCCCCAAATAATAAAATGTTTATTTATATATGCTTATCTAAATATGTGAAAGAGGATGGCCTGAGGAGACTGACTCATCAATTAACGCACGGCCCAAACCGCTAGACGCAGAAATCTCAAATTTGGACAGTAGCTGCCTTTTATGAGGCATCCACTAAGAAAGGATTTTGGAAAATTCAACCCCTAAGGGATGAAATAGGGTGTTACAACTTGTATGATTTTTTTTACAGGGCGATTGACTGGAAACACTCTAAAAGTACTTTGTAAATAAAATAAAACCCGAGGTAGGCTTCATATAACAATAAGGTATTTAAATTTGTATGGAGAAAAATTCATTAATATATTTTTTCAATATGAAAATTGATGCACATGCATACTCTTGAATTAAATGATAAAATTAATACAACACGAATGTTAGGTTTTAACCAGAGGGTTCAAGTTGTAATTACAGTTATATGAAAAATACTGATATGACGCACAGGTCAAACCAGTGATAAAAGCATAAAATTGTGAAAATATGGCTTCCTTTTATCAAGTAGGCATTTACTAAAACAGGATTTTGAAAAATTAAAAACCCAAGAGCGTTGAAATAAGGTGTTGCAGTTTGTACGGCACTTTATTTTACGGGTCGATTTCATATTTGTATGGTGAAAAAGGATTAAGTGATTATGTAACTTAAAAAATAGTACATATACTTTTGGAATAAAATACTGAAATACGTATTATTTAATTTTTCGAAAATCTAATTAAAATGTGTAATTATGAGGGGATAATGCTTACGTGGAAAAACTGGCTTTCTAATAGCATGGTAGTGAGGACACACTTAAAACGAAATTATGGTAGGAGAAAAATTTGTATTTAGGCTTGAGATTAAAATCTAAGAAACATGTGTTTCAGTATGTTTGATAATTCTACCCGAATACAAAGTTTAAATTAAAAATTAAATATGGTTAGAAATTCTGCCATGTTTTGATTGTCTTTGACAACACTTATGTAAGCTTTCGATTAAAAATTTTGTAACACGTATTTTAAGATTTTTTAGATACTTTACCTAAAGTGTAACTTTAAATTTGCGATCATTATCATTTCAGAAATATGAGATAGTTTGAGCTCTCTGTATTATGCGATCTTATGATAAGGTCTTATAATGACTGTCTCAATAGCGTAACGTGGACGCGGGTAACACCGCGGGACGAAAAGCTAGTGTAGATTATGAAACATTAATATGTGGTGTACTGCAATAGGTCACTTTTGATAATTCACCTTTCTCATAGAACTACTATGTTTTGAGAATACACGTCTACACTCCTAAATGTTTTGTTCCAGCTATTACGCATTTAGGCGGGACCACCGAACGCGTTCGCACATATTCCTTCACGGCCTCCATCTCCACTTGCGCAATGGACCCCCTTCTTCCACGTTTGTTGCGCGGGGCCATAGCTAGGTCAGGAAAAACTTGCAACCTTAAATACCAGCTTCCTGGCACCAACTTTGGATTTGTTCTATGGTCCTGCCGCCGTCCACATAAGGCTATGGCCCAAGAAGGCAGAATGGTGCATCGTAATACCGGCAATGTTCTTCCCCAGCGACTCCACCTTGGCTGCAGAGAGCAGAGTGAGAGAACTACCCTCCCATCGCATTCCACCAACATGAAATTGGGCATGATTGAAAAACCTACTCGAAATGGTTATATTCGGGCCTGTCACGTGGGTTCCTATTTGCACACCGTATCTTCCATAAAAATGATCATATTAATTTTGCTAATAAAAGACAACATACACATCTACAAATACATTTATTAACTACACTTCTAATGCATTGATTATCTGATCAATTTTCAAAAGTATTTACCAATTTAAATTTATAAAGCCAATAACACCGGAGTATTTTTATAAAAGCACATAACCGTTTGATACATGGTATTAACGTTAGTCTTGTCTTTACTCTTGTTGCAGTTTTCAAGAACCTTCTGCACGTCGTCTTTGCGATCGCTGCCCGCAAAGAGAGTTAGTAGGCCGTCGTTTAAATGGCCATCTTCGTCGCCATAGTTCGTTTTACGACAGAGGCAGTATAAAAACTTCTTACTCGGTAAATCGGAACCGAAAATAAGCTTAAAGAAATTATCGGCAACCTCCTGGTTGGCTCCAGTTTCTTTAATACAATCTGATGCTGCTTCTTTTACTACATTAAGGACGATGGGGGGCAGGTGCACAACAGGTCTCTAAAAAATCATCGATAATATTTTTTAAAGAGAAAAATACGTGAATTGTACATTTTTATTTAATGGTTTTTTTTTAAATAATAATAACGTCGATTGCCTCGTAAGGGAGATATTTACCATTATTGCCACGATTGGTAAGCGGCTGGGCTTTCTTACTTATCGTGTAGTGGTGGTGTAAGAATATCCACTACCCCACATCATCCCGTCAGGTTTCGTAAGAGGCAACATAGGGAAACAAATTAGGAGAAAGTAACAACGTCTTTCTAATAACAACTTAAAAATAACCAGTTGTAGCGATCAAAACTTTAAGTTTTTGGCAAATGTGTTGGCTCTGGTCTGGTCTGGACTAATAGGGATTCTGATCCTATGTTCCACTAGCCAAATACAATTCTTCTGAGTAAGTAATGCCAGTTAGCGTAGGCCAGGTTAAGAGGAGACTGAAAAGGCTGTTATTATAAAGATATTTAACGCAAGAAACAAAAATTATATAATGATATCAATGATTAAATATGTAGGTACTATAAAAACTTACCTTGTCGATTTCTGCATAGGCTACCATTATTGTAGACAATAAAACCAAAATATAAAACATGGCGACCACTGATATGCTATTTTAGCGTACTACAGATCCGATATCGTTGTTCTCGAATTGTTTCTGCCGAATGATAACAATCCAAAGAAACTGATCTTATTTATATTTTATAGCCTATATAATTTACAAGGTTTTATCCTCCGACACCTCCATTACTTTGACAAAGACTAATTAAAAACATCAAGCCATTACTTTCGTTTTTTACTATAGTGCATTGCATACTATTAACATAATGCGACAGTTCTATCATGAAGTAAACTTTGAAATACTTTGTTATTGATGAGAAATCTTGAAGAGCCAGAATTAAACCAGAAAAAAGAACACGTTTTTTTTTTACTTATTACAAGCCAGTGCTTGACCACAATCCCACCTGGTGGTAAGTGGTGATGCAGCCCTAGATGGTAAATCGCACTTTCTCACATCTAGTACATACATAAGTGTTTTAAGAGTTTCAGTTAAAGTTTGGATAAAAGTTTTTGTATATTTTATTACCGTCAGTGGAAAAGACAAAAATAAAAAAGCACTGGTTAATTAATAGACTAAAAATAACACCTAACAGAGCCAGGTTAATTGAAACATTATTTGCCAATAAATTAAATTAAGCCACAAAAATAAAAATAAAAACAAAATAGATTTTAAATTATGACACAAATATTATTATATTAAGAATAAAATTCGTGATTAAAATTTTTGCATCCAATTATTCGAAAGGCGTTAATAAAATAGTAAGAATATAGTTACAAACTCTTTTTATTTAAAAAAATTAAACATTGGCTATTAAAGATCGAGATATGTAACAAAGAAAATATAATCACTAATATGTAAGATACCTACATAAAAAAAAAACTTTTGCTTGAAAACTAAAAAGAGGAAACGTGATTATATTCTCTTGCTTCTCTTGGAGTTTTGGCGGGAACTTGACCGGCGGCGGCTTGCTGCTCCTGTATTATTGTTTAAATAATGGTTTGAAGTGGACTTTAATATGTAAAAGTGGTGCGATTTTGTGTATTAGCTCTGATAGTGATGTGATTCTCAAAATAAGGTGTGTCTGCTTAGGCGCCTTGAGATACCATCGCCAACCGTCAGCTGTCTGCTGGCTCAAGTTGCCGTCAAAATTTCCCAAGGGCTGCACACTGTGACGCATCAGCATATTGTGAAGCAGTATACTATGAAGGATAATTATTATAATATATTGTAACTTCAGGCTCAGAAGGGCTAGATCCCAGAGCCGTAAAGCCAGTTATTAACAACGGAATGTTTCTCCTGTTTTATCGTTATAATAACGCTTTGAAGTGACTTTTGATACGTAAATGCTACTGTATACAGTTCCCAAGGTGGTCCACTGCAGGCCATTGCCATTGTGTTCACGACACAATGGTGTATGATGGCTGACAGTTGATTATGGGCAATAGATCGTGGCGAACAATGGCGATTTTGTCGGTTTTTTTGACACTCTTCAAAGAAATCGTGGCGTAGCGTGGCCGGTGGTGTTCACACAGTGGCCTAGTGTTTAGTTAGTCACCAACCGCAAGCTAGTGTTCTATACTTATTAAACAAACATAACCTAAGATCGTAGTAATAGACTAAACTTAAGATTTAAATTGCTCTTAAGTTTGCATTTTAGTATACGAACGATCACGCTTTATCTTAATTTTGAATTAATTAACAAGAGCCTTAAAAATAAAAGTATAGCAATAAAAAACTCTTATGTATCTTGTCCTATTACGGTGGATTTTCAGCATCCAATATCGTTTTTTGCGCCATTTCTTTTTAATAACTCTATTATACTTGTATGCAGTGTACAAATAAATAGCCGCGGCTGTGATGGCTAATTATGGTAACCACAGCCGAAGGACCCAAAAAAAACCAAATTTATTTAAGTAAATTTAATGAAAACTAATTTTACAATTAAACTTAAGTCTATGCCTGATCGATGCTAGATACAGAATACTTAAATTAATTTTATAAAATAAAAATGTTGCATCGCGGTAAACGCGCATTGACGTCAATCGGGGTGCTGTGTCAGCGGCGGTGATCACGTTGCGTCCGGTGGCGGCACGCGTGAGCGGTGTCAGCAGGTGCTGTATCGAGGTCATCGCTTATTGCAAATTACTAGTGAGAGCTTGATATAACACCTCCCCCTTCAGATCATCACTTATTTTTGAAGGCTTCTCTGAGAAAATAGTGATGGATGCTGCTTGGTCTTTTCAGATGTCTCGGGTACTGCATAGATCTTGTCTTTGGGGGGTGATCTTTCAGATCTGCGTCGGAATATTTCGCCTCGTCTTATAAGTAGCAGCATGGTGAGTGCGAGTGCGCTTAATAGAATGATATAAAGCGGAATCGTTGTATGATATACTGTGTAGTCCGGCGACGCTTGCTTTATTTCCAGAGTTGGCTGCGTTATCACCCTGTGCTTAGTGTCATGCAGCCTTCGCAAGTCAATGGAATTAAGATGAATCTGAGAATTTCCTTTGAGCGGTTCCTCAATGTCGGTTGTCAGCTTCATTATTTTCAGCGGTTGTCCTTCAACTACGTCGTTAATATTGGTGATTGTAAAGTCGGGTGTGTCCAAGGAGCAGCTCATAGGGACGGTTGCTAAGTAGGTGCCGCTGAGAATGTTGTAATTTTCTTTGCCACATAGGTAGTGTATCCTCGTGGCATTGGGGAAAGACAGGATATAATGTTTCTCGTCTAATTCTTCCATAGCTGGTCTTGATAGGGTTATTGTAACAACGTCGCAGGTCTTGTCGATGGCTTGATTTATTAAAAGATTCTGGATACAGTCTGGGATTTGTCGTAGCTGATGGTCCATTGTCTCTCCACAGAGGTACCAGTCCTTAAACTTCGGGCATTCAGCCTCTATATACACATAACCTTTTCTGTTGGTTGCTATTAAAGGAAAAGGAGGGACGAGGGCCTGCTTAAACTTATTGGGGGCCATGGATAATTTATAGAGATTGTAACTATCCTTAGTAAATAGCGGTATATTAAAAATTATGACTATCCTATTATCAGAGTAATAGTATCCTGGTTTAATTATGTCATAGTATTCCCTAAGTTCTAATTGCAACACATGCTCCTTACCATAGATAGTAATTAAGCGTTGAATCATATGGTTTAAAATATCTATACTAATCATGGAATGATGTAAAGTTGAAGCGTGAATAAAAGCTATGATATTTTCAATTCTAGTTAGCTCACTGAATATTTCGTCAATATTTTCAGTTAAAATAGCAAGGTACTGAGCAAATTTAGCATATTTTAGTAGGCTAGAATCTTTATAACTATTTCTATCTAAAATTAATTGTAACGTTTCATTTATTTTTACTTGATTCTCGACTAACTCTTCTAACACATTAGAATGCTGGACCATCCACTCTTTACTAAGACTTACGTGATTGTTAAATTCATGAAAAATAACGTTACTATTTTGCTGAAGGATTTTAATTGCATTGTCATACTTCACGGCATCTGAATTATCTAAATTACCAGTAACGCTCTTAATTATTGAACCGAGTCCGTCTACGAGGCCTCTCTTTATACGATGGGGTTTTAAGGTTTCTAATTGGTTTAAGACCTTACTAAGTTTGACGAATAGAAATTCTATTTGAGCCTCATAAAGCATATAAGTATCGTTTCCTAGAGTTTGTCTAAAATATATTAGTTGATTCTGTAGCTGCGAGATTTTATCATTAATATCATCTAATTCTACGAATTGTATAAAAGTATGATAGTGCGTAATGAGCCTTGTTGCGCCAAGCCGAAAAGGTAGAAGTCCGGGGCCGTCGTCAAGGCTCTCAAGTGTTATCTCTTGACTCATCCTGTGGGATGCTATCGAAGGAGCAGTCAGGACCAGTAGCACCCTGTAACAATTTGGCACTTTTGGGTATTCTTTTAAGACGATTTTTGGCAACAGGCCCGCGTTTTCGTGAGGTGTATATATGTATAGGTAAGTCTGCCAGTACTGTGTCACGACTATACCTAGGGGCCAACTTTTGACGACTCGCAAGAGGGTTCTTCACAAAAATACGCTGATGTGGCTGATATTCGATTTCAGGATCGCGATCTTTATTACGGTTATTTATGATGCTGGTACGGTCAGCCAGGCTAATTTCCCCTAGCGTTTCATAAACTAACTTCATCTGATCCTTATGATTCTGTACGTATTGCTGCGTTAAGTGTTTCGTCATATCTACGTCAAAGGGGTCTCGCGGGTCGAAATGCCCAGTTATAATATCAAAAGGTCTGCATTTGGTAAAGCTGTGTACGGAGCTATTGTAAGCTAAAATTGCGTATGGCATAAGGTTTATAGCATTCTCACTTTTATTGCGTAATTTTAGGATTCTGAGATGTTCCAGAATCGTCGCGTGGAACCTTTCTACTAAGCCGTTATCGTTGGGGGAGTGAGGTAGTATTCTGTGATGGTTAATCCGGTGTAAATTAGTAAAGTCATTAAATATCTGATTGGTAAATTCTGTGCCATTGTCTGATACTATTGTTAGAGGTAGCCCATGATGAGTGCAAAAATTTAACAGTGCTTGAACGATACTGATTGCCGTGGCATCGCGAACATGGTATGCCTGCGCGTATTTGGAAAACGCATCTACAATAGTTAAATATTTCTCATTTTGTATAGAAAGCAAATCTATGTGCACAATTTCGAATGGTTTAGTAGCAGGAGGAACGATGTTAAATTGCGGTTTGATGGGATTACGATCGTACTTAGCTTGGCCACAGATAGTACAATCATTGATAATTTTGGTAATTTGATCTCGCATCTTTGGCCAGTAATAACGGCAAGACAAGGCAAGATGACACTCATTTATACCACGGTGGTTAGTTTTACCGTCGTGATAATTTTTGATAATCTCCTGCTGCCTTAAATAGTCATTTACATTTTCCACCTCAGTTTTTGTTAGCACTAAATTCATGGCCGAATTTTTAAACTTATCCTGTATGACTGGAATAATGTCGTACATTGCTAAAGGCGGATTGATAAGTAAGGCCGTCTTAACTTTAGGGATTACGTATTCCTTTACAAGATTTACAACGTCATTCTCAAGGTCTGATTTAGATACTTGCACAGCTATTCTGTTATGAGTGTCAAACGGCTTGGAAGCTACGGGGCGTTTCTTTATGTCACCAACCACGGAGATAACAATCTGCCTATGGAATTTGTTAAGCGGCTGGTCTACAATAGGAACTTCGAGAATGGGGTTTTCCTTACTGGTATGTGCGGATGCTGTGGACGAATTTTCCACAGAGGGCGGTCGTTCCGACGCGAGAGCAATCATCGAATCCGTTTCCTCGTTATGTATCTCGACGCGCGAAAGGGCATCAGCGTTAGTGTTCGATTTACCACTTTTATACTTAACAGTGAAATCATACTCGGATAACTTGAGTTTCCATCTAGTTAGACGCGCATTAGGTTCTTTTAGCTGCATGACCCACTGAAGCGGCTTATGGTCGGTAATGATTTTAAATTTGCGGCCAAAAAGGTAGGGCCGGAAATATTTGGTTGCCCAAACGATCGCGAGGAGCTCCTTCTCTATTGTGCTATAATTTAACTCACTGTCGTTTAGCGTGCGAGAAGCGTAACAAATCGGTTTGTCTGCACCTTCGGGGCCTTGTGATAATATAGCGCCTAAAGCTACGTTGGAAGCATCGGTAGTTAAGATGAACTCCTTATTAAAGTTTGGGTATTGCAAAATCGGATCATTAGTTAAAAGGTTTTTACATTTTTCAAAGCAATCTGTATATTCTGAATTAATAACAACTTTGTTTCCTTTCTTTAGGCATTGTGTAAATGGCTTAGTGATGCGCGCGAAGTTCGGGATAAATTTTCTATAATACCCTACTAGGCCTAGGAATTGCTTAATTTCTTTGGGGGTTCTGGGCATTGGATAGTTCTTAATAGCCATAATCTTGTCAGGGTTCGGCTTGATGCCGTCGTTGGTAATAACATGCCCTAAATAGGCGGTCTCTCGTTTGAGAAATTCGGACTTGTCCATTTGGACTTTGAAGTTTGATTCTCTGAGCCTTGAAAATACCTTTTCGAGGTTGATCATGTGCTCTTGAAGTGAGGTACTAAAAACTACTATGTCGTCGAGGTAGACCAGACAGATGACGTTTTGGAGACCCTTCAAGACATTGTCCATCACCCGCTGGAAGGTAGATGGTGAATTTTTCAGGCCCATGGGCATGCGTAAAAATTCGTAATGCCCATTTTCTACGTTAAATGCTGTTTTGGGTATGTCTTCTGGGTCCATCTCGACCTGATAGAAGCCGCTAGCCAGGTCGAGGGTTGAGAAATATTGGCAATTACCTAGCTTATCCAAAACGTCATTAATGTTGGGAATCGGATATTTGTCGTCAATAGTTTTTTCATTTAATTTCCGAAAGTCTACGACTAAACGCCATTTGGTCTTTCCTGAAGCATCAGGTTTTTTTGGTACTATCCAAATAGGGGAGCTCCAGGCAGATTCCGATGGTCTAATTATACCCTGACTTAGCATTTTCCCTATCTGATCCCTGACCTCGTCGCGGTGTATGTAAGGGTAACGATAACTTTTTGTGAAGACCGGCATCTCATCAGATGTCCTAATCTTGTGTTTAATCTTATTTGTAAAAGTCAAGGCCTCTCCGTCAATATAAAATATATCTGCATATTTTTGACACAGATTCTCTAAGTTAATGCGCTCTTCCATATTAAGATGGTCTGTGCGCAAGCGTGAAAGTACTTCGCGTTCGCGTGACGTCATTTGTTCAATGCCCGTGCATTGGACGTTATAAGCCTCTGCGTGAACGGCGCGATCCATAGAAAATATTAAGTCGTGCAAGGTTGGATTCGTAATTTCAAGAAAACCACGATTATTTTTGACGGTGGTTAGGCATTCATTTACTACGCAATTAGAGATAATCTGTTCATCAATATAAGCGTCCCCGTCTTGCAAATTAATAGGGACCCTAACTAGCTTCGTTGTTTTTGCCGGGATCACGTCTTCATAAAAGTTTATGTTCCGTGAATTATACATGTGAATTGGAGTAACAGAATTACGAGTGAATAATTTTTTATCTTTAAGATCAATTTTGGCCTCCCAGTTTTCTAATAAATCTAAACCGATAAGGCCGTCGAAAAAGTCATGAAATTTATAAACGAACAGTTTAATACTTTCTGTTTCCCGAAATTCGCTGAAACATGGCAAAGTTATAGAATAATCGTTGCGCGTGGTAGCGTGTACATTTGTCACCTCGAAGGGGTCAAAGTTTAACGGGATTTCGTGAAAAAATTTACCTACAGCTTCCGGGCAAATAAAAGATTGGTTAGCACCCGTATCGATTAACAATTTTAGAGGTGGGTTTGAAATTTGTATATACGGGAGCTGTCTCTGTGACTGCAAATTCAGTTCTATTTTGGCTTTTCGGATTTCCCTTGCTTGGGAAAATCCTGTTCCTGTGCTGAGCTCGTACTAGGCATTTCGGGATCAACGTAGGATCCTGATGGGATCTCTTGAGGTAAATCGTAATTTGGTAGCTCGCTAATCGCGTAATTTATCGGTTCTGGGTCGTAATACTCCGGGTAGACCCCATAGTAATAATCATTGGGTTCATTATATGCGTACTCGGGAAAATAATAGCAATGACCATCACCATAGTTCACAAATTCGTTCATGTTCATCTCCCTAGTCTTAAAGTAGTTAGATGGCGGCGGATTTCCGAATTTTCGCCAATCGTGACCTGACAGTTGACCACCCGCGGGCCTTTCCTTTGTGACGTAGTGGCTTACACCACTCATAGGCTTGTGGCCTGAATTATATGAATCGCTTCTTGGTGGGAGTTGGAATCTATTAAGTTGTGGATTATAGTTAGGTGGTTGCGCGCGGAATATCTGTTGCGTGCGTGTCGGCATACCTACAGGCCTATATGGTACGGGAGCATTGTTAAAATTATTCGGCCGCCATTGTTGTTGAGAGAATTTAAAATTGGGCATAGGCATTGGTTGTACGGGGAATTTATACGCGGCTATTGGCGAAGGCATGGGTACTTGTGGTGCCTGCGGTTTTTTATCTGCGGCAGATCCACTGCGATTCTGAAGATACATTACGTTTAATTCTTCTTGTACAAATTCAAGTGCCTTTTCTACACTATCAGGACGCATGCATCGTATGCGAGAGCCTAACGGCTCTTTTAATCCGCGAACAAATGCCTGCATCGTGAGCTTTCTGTAAAGGTCGCGCTTAGCTTTAATAGTCGTATCGACAGTATCGTGTAAGGTGACATAGGTCATAATGGTGCTGAACAAGTTTACACATCGGTCGTAGAATTCTTGGGGCGAACTATTCCCCTGTGTGGCTATCATAAGATCATTATAAAGGGCGGTCTCATCTCTCTGATCGGAGAAATTATTAATTAGCGCCGTTTTAATGCTATTCCAATCTTCAGCTATACCGTTAGAATTAATTATTCGTGCGGCAGGTCCAGTAATCTTATTTAAGATACCATTCACGAGGTAAAGTTTAGCTAATGCATTACCTTCGTTTTGATTTATATATTCCGCTGCGATCTGATCACATAAATTTATAAAGCGGGGCAAAATATGCGAGTTGCCGTCGAATTCGGGTACTAGGCGTAAGGCCTTAATAATTACGTCTACGTCAGCCATTATTGCGGATTCCGGATCGCTTAGTCCCTTAGAATTATGCGATAAAGTATTTGAACCTACACTTATATTCCTATTTGTATCTAATTTAAGTCTACGGGCCACTCGATTATTCGCAGGCCCTCTAGGGATGGATTGCCTAGGATGAAAAATCTTGGCGGTAAAAGAAAAGGTAAATTATATGTAAAAGGAAGCAACACAGAATCGGTTTCAGTGTACTTACATAAATTGCATTCTGGTTCCTCTGGGATCGATTTCTTGATTTCTCCTCCAGCCAGGCTCCAGGTTCTTTTCAAGGATACACGAAGACGCGCGATCGCTCGCGACGGTAGCGATTGATTTACGACGCGGGATTTCGATGTGAGAAAACCCTATCAAAACTACCTCAAGACGCCTTGAGTATCCTACCGACTGCGCCAATTATGGTAACCACAGCCGAAGGACCCAAAAAAAACCAAATTTATTTAAGTAAATTTAATGAAAACTAATTTTACAATTAAACTTAAGTCTATGCCTGATCGATGCTAGATACAGAATACTTAAATTAATTTTATAAAATAAAAATGTTGCATCGCGGTAAACGCGCATTGACGTCAATCGGGGTGCTGTGTCAGCGGCGGTAATCACGTTGCGTCCGGTGGCGGCACGCGTGAGCGGTGTCAGCAGGTGCTGTATCGAGGTCATCGCTTATTGCAAATTACTAGTGAGAGCTTGATATAACATCTACGTCTACGATATCTACGTCCATTGTGATTGTTTCCTTAGGCAGGAATGAGTCTCATACCATTGCGTGAACACCTGTCGCTGAATGAAGGAACAGATGCTGGCTTATCGTGGCGCATGGCCTGCAGTGGGCCATCGTGTACAGGAGCCTTAAAAGAGATGTCATTTTGTATATTGTTTGCGCACGTGAATCGCTTAATAGTGAAAAAGACGTAACAAGTGCTCCGATGTTGGTATAAACCTCAAGTGTTATTTTTTCCGTTTACTTAAGAATTTGTGATATTATCGTCATCGACCATTTTTTGGGTTAGGCTATCGTTAAAATCTCCCAAGAACTTCTCAATATGAGGCAGGGGCATATTGTGAAGAAGTTTATGTAACTAAATATTATCAACGATAAATTATTTATTGAGGATAGATGTATATGTCTATGGGTTACAGTAACCACTTACCATCAGGTGGACTGTGTGCTCGTTTATCACCATATCCTATAAATAATCTAAATTGTAAGACTTCATTTCTGTCTAGAAGTCTGTTCCGGTAGGTACCTACCTCAGTATTACCTATTTATGTCGCCAAACAGCAGTGCCTGCTTTGTTGCAGTCTGAAGGTTATAAAGAGCCAAGAGTTTGACTACCTCGATAGTCTGTAGTGGTCATAACTGCGATTTTTGATTATGAGGATCCCTAGCTTGTATCCTGGGTCGGGCCAAAATTAGTTATTGAATTTTTCTATAAGAAATTCTTGGCAGCTGCCCGGAGTACGGAATTAGCGATGTTTCACCTTCGTGCCTCGAAAAGCACCTAAAGCTGTTGGTCCTACGCCTGATCACCTCAGGACAGAGGTTTTTTTTCGAACCAGTGGTAATTAAACAAAAGAGTGAATTTTATTAAGTATTATTTATAATCTATATTGAATTAAAATTTTCCGTTTCTGTTTCCGATCTCTCTCCGGTCGTATCAGATTACCATCCTATTGGACTATGAGAATGTGGGGAAAGTAAGTGCACCTGTTCTTGCTCGTGCCCTCGTATACTATAATCCTGTCCTGCTCCGTTTGCTAGTCTCCGTTGAGACCGGCCGCCGTGACACGAAACTCGGGTTGGAGGACATTTATTGAAGAGCCAGTATAATAACAAGCTGCCATCTGTAGTCTTCCTTTTTTGAATTTGGCTGCAGGTGTCCATGGATGACAGTAGTCACCTACCATCAGGTTGACTGTCATTTCGTAAGTTACTTTACTTTATAAAAATAAAAGGAGACAGTTACGAGCTGTTATTAATTGTATAAATGTTTCAAACATTTTACCACGGAACACAGCACACACAACGATGACACTTATTCCTATTGTTGGACAAGTGAACCGCCGTATTCTAGAGTTACATTTAAGCGTAAAATAATATTTATCATATAGATCACTCTGTGGGGCCGTGATAGCCCAGGGACTAAGAGCTCGCTGAAAATTTCACAATACGATGTTTTTTTTGATTGATGATGTTTGATTTGGTTTTTTTTTTTTATTTTGTTTGATGATATTTACGGGTTCAATCACCGCCGGCGCATGATGTAATAAGAATAAAATAGTCATGACATAAAAAGACTAGTGAATCTTGACAATTGGCGACATGATAAAGATAGTAATATAATACGATGGGCTGATCTTGTATAGTTCAGAGTTTCATCTTTACAAGAAAATACAGTCTTTTGAGGTATAATTTTGAAGATTCAAGATCAAAATGAAAAATAAAAAGTTCCGCTATCGGTGAATTTAAAACGAAGTAGACCAAAGAAAGGTATTATATATATATATATATAATATATATACCCATACATTTGAAATTGGTATGATCCACTCTCGCAATTCAAACTACCAGTTAAGCGTTAACAACCATGATTAACAACAAATTAACTGAATGAAATGAAACAAAGGTCAGGACGTTGCAATGGTTTTTGAGAAATATTTTACTGATATTCCGATCTTAACCACTACGTCACTGAGTTCTTCTCCTGCTGTCGACGAGTCATTATTTAAACAAAATGTAAATGCGTGTACAAAGAATTTTACATTTCATAAAGTATCATCAAAAGATATTGTAAAATATTTTAAAACTATTGATATTAAAAAAACTGCAGG